CCCAGACTTTTGAAAGGTTGTTTTGGAAATGCGATATAACCGAACTCCACGCGGGCGAAGCTGCGGGCGGAAAGCTAGTTTATCTATATATTTCGGCAAAGACAAGTTACTTTTGTATAAAATATTATAGATTTTTTTAGAATATATGATATATTGTATTTTCAAGTCTCATTCTATAAAGCCTAGCTGTGGTCTAGTAACTCTATTTCGAACATGGGCTATCTCGACTGTGGAAGTACCGCCTTCTCACAGAGGATCGGCGAAAGTATTTTTTATTTGTGGGTTTTATCTGATGAGTGAGAGAGACGGATGCCTATTCCCTTTCCTCTCACTCTTTTATAATCAAATTCGGCAACGCATCAGCAACATCCTTTTGTTACAGGTGTCCATGAGCGACGGCTCCTACCTTCATTAAAGTAGACCGTCTGCTCGTTACCACCTTTAATAAAAAAAGATAAATAATGAATTATGAAACTTCAATTAGTTTTCGTTATAAAACAGATATTTTAATTGAACCTTCTACCGTCTTTATACATATATTATTCGTAACTAGATGATAGTAACTATTAAATAGTGTTTGTTTAGTTATATGTATAGTAAGTGTTAGGCCACAGTCTATAAAATTCCTATTGTCCTACTATTTCTTCTTCTTCTTCTTCCTGGCAATTTCCCAGCTTTAGCCAGGGTCTGGTGTACTATTGTCCTACTATTTATTGTCTAAATTTTTAAAAATAATTTTCTTAAAACGTCACTATTCCTTCTAATATTATAAATACGAAATTAACTCTGTCTGTCTGTCTGTCTGTTACGCTTTCACGCCTAAACCACTGAACTGATTTAAATGAAATTTGGTACAGAGATAGAGTTGACCTTGAGAAAGGACATAGGATAGTTTTTATCCCAGACTATTGAAAGTTTCTCTTGGAAACGCGATATAACCGAACTCCACACGGGCGAAGCTGCGGGCGGAAAGCTAGAAGATAATAAATATGTTTTATGATTAACAGAATGATTATTTTTTTTATAATCGGTATCATAAAGATTTATAACTAATTAAAAAAATATTTTTTTCTTGTGAAAATGATCGTAGGCTTTTTTTTATTCCAAAAGAGTGTTGATGTCAGGCAGGCGGCCGGTCGTAAAAACAATTAGCCAAAACTATTAACAACATGTAAGGCAGACCCTAGCTAAAGCTGGGAAATTGCCAGGAAGAAGAAAAACAATGATCATAGGCTTTTTGAGTTTTTAAAATACAAGAAGTATTGCAAGCTTCAAATCGTCGCTACTGTTGATAATTCCATCTTTCCGTATGGGCTCATATTTTATTAAATAGATAAATAATGTTTGAAAATTGCTTTATATTGAATTTCTTTGTTCAACTTTAAATATCTGTTAAATTACATTAGTCTTATCAAAACGAGTATCTAATAAGATATATACATATATATTGATATTTTTACCCAGAGGGAATAACACGATGATGAATTCGAAACGGCGATAAGTTATTTCATATGTGTTGTGCATGATTAATGAGTGATTAGTATGAAATATATATTCATACTTCATGAACATATAAGAATATGTATTAGATATAATATGTTATAAATATAATCCGTTACTTTTAAACTAAAAATGTCTGGATGTAACTTTGTTTCCTCAAGAGGACTTTAGCTAGGAATTAGACATAAATCGCTAAACGTTAAACTACAATTGTCAATTAATGACCCAAAATGTAGTAACCAAAACATGCCTAGAATCATCTTAGCCAGTTCCATTCAATTTCTATCACAAAACTTTTCAAATAGCAAAATGTTTGGTCCGTGGAATTTAATTCAGATATTATTATATATAATTTTATATTATTTTTATTTACTACGTCGCATTATCCATTTGAAGTCAGGGAAAGTGATCATTTGCGAATGTCAGATGCTAAGGATCACACGATGTCGTCACTCGACACCTGACAGCTTTGTGTGAAGGATGAAGAATTAAAGTGTTCGGAAACACAGATGAGGGTAATTTATATTTAATTATATTAAACGTAGACTATCACAAGAAACATGATAATTAATAAAAATAAGTATAAAGATTGGTTTTTGGAATAGTATGGGTTTTATTGCAATTTATAGATTAGTGAAATATTTTAATTAAAATTAATGATTTGACGGATATTTTATGTAATTATAATATATATTTTTTTGTGGTGGTAGAGCCTAGCTGTAGTCAATTTACTACAGCTCGAATATGGGCTGGCTCGACCGGGGAAGTACCACCCTCTCACAGAAAATCGGCGTAAAGTAGTCTTTAAAGGCTGCGTTTCGTCCGGTGAGTGAGAGAGCCGGTTGCCCTTTCCCTTTTCCCAACCTCTCCTTTCCCTCCCTTTCCCACCTTTTCCCCAATCAAGGGCGGCAACACATCCGCAAATCTGCGTTGCGGATGTCCATGGGCGACGGTAACTACCTATCATCAAGTAGGCCGTCTGTTCAGTTGCCCCCTTTTCCCATAAAAAAAAAAAAAAAAAAAAAAAAATATGTATAGTTAATTTTTAATATTACTTTATTCAAACATTTGTAACATAATTTTTTTAGATTTGTAAAACTTTTCCTGTTCAATTGAACTTCTCAAGTTTCTCAAGTTAGAAAAAGTTTTTATATAAGTTCATTTTAATTATAAAGTTATATTAATAGATATTAACGAATCCTAAAATGATTTGTTTATAAACTTAATATGGTAAAAATCTAACTTTGTATGACCACACAGAAATAATTTCAGGTTAACAACGGTGGTTTATTTACGCACAAAAACTATTTTAAAATACATATATACAACGTGTAACATAATTAACGCACACCCTGAAAGTAGTTTGATCAGAATCGGATACTGGATCGATTTTGATAGTTTTTTATGTAGGTAATTTTTTTTCTCAAATTTAGATAGAACTAAGTAAATTATAGTCACCCTACACACAGTTATCTAAACACTTCATAGAAACGAAAATTAATGGAACCGAAAATGGATCGTAAGTCAGGGTATTAAGATTGTTAAAATGAAATATTTAATTAGTAATCATCATTCAATTAAAGAAAACTGATACTTATTTCAAGGCTAAAATAGTATTTAATAATAACTACGCACGCAACACCATAGCGACAACCGGCACACAGCAAGGTCACTACAGTGCATAAAAGAAAGCCGCGTAATACAAAAATTATTACTTTCTCCTTCTTTCTTCGGCTTAATAACATTACAATAGAGCGAGACGGCAGGCATAATTCCGGGAATCAGAGTAATAATAACTAATCATCGAAGTCAACAAAATGTGTTTTGGGTAAGTTAGTTACGCCGCGTCCACCTTATCGAAAAGAGGTCAAGTGTAAAGTGCAAATAAAATCTTAGTCGCGCATTTCGCTGTGTCGTTTCGGTACACTAACATTCAATACATCAAATACCTACGCACGTGTCCATTGACCTCCTAGATCAGCTGATTTGACGCGACTCGACTTTTTTTTGTGGGGGCGAATTAAATCGCTAGTTTATAACACAGAGATAACAAGTGCCGAGGAACTAAAAAATAAGATAATAACCGCCTTTGTAAAAGTGAAAAGTGATATTGCAGTATTATCTAAAATAAAACCACAATTGCGAAAACGGTCATTAAAGTGCATTAAACAAGGCGGTGGACATTTTGAAAATGTTTTAAAACGACAACGCTGTGCGAGTGCAAATTAAACTGTAAGTTTGTTTATGATCTTTAAATTATTGTAAATATTTTGATACACACCATTTAAACAGGCCGACTGTGTTTAACTTTGTCGTAGGTATTGTGGTGTCTATTCAAATCACGCGTTATCAGCTGTTTAATAATTCTTATTTACAAATTTAATTTAACAAATCAGTAATTATAAAATATTGGCTTCACATTAAAAAGAAAATTCAATGTCAACAATCTAAAGCTTGAAAAGTGTGATGGAAAGAAAAATCATAATGTATGTAGTTATTTCGTGTACTTATTATTACCTACTTCTTATTATTGTCGGACGGCACTCGGAGAGAAGGCGCGGGCGCGGGGAGAACATTGTGTCTGACCATATTATTTGCACGAAATTGGGATAGCTAATTTCACAAATAAAAAATTCAAACGCACATATAAATAATATTTGGTGTATGCATTGCGTTTATATCATTATATACGCATTGGGGTATTTGAGGGTGTGCGTTAATTACGTTACACGTTGTATATATGTAATAAAATATACATATTATATTAGATTTACAATCTATTTCTATATTACTACTTATTACGAAACTTTTTCAACATGTAGCTATTTAAAGGATTGTTTTTTTTGCGGACGTAAGTCTGTTCTTTCAACTGTAAGTGAAAAGATCGTCTGAAAAATATTAATAGTTTATTTTTCATAAATTTCCACATTAAATGGGCTTCTTTTAACCCCCTATAATATGTTCCTGATTAATGAACATAATTGACACCAGATTGGAACATATTTTATTCTACAGATATTTGGATATGTGTCTATCCAACAAAAGAAACGTAAAATCTATTTGGATTTAGTAAACGGTTTGATTATCATCGATATTAAAATAACGGCTAATATTAAGATTATGACCAGTAGAGTTTTATATGAGAAAAAGTAATTTTAACATTTTTCGTAAACCGAATCGTCTGTTTTAGGATGTATAGGTATAGAATATAGATATAGAATAGGGATGTAATAGATTTGATATCGATTATGTGTGTATTTATGTGTTTCTGTGTCTGTGTGTCTGTCTGTGGTATCGTAGCTCTCAAACGAATCGACCGATTTTTATGTTTTTTTTTAATTTGACACCCACATTCCCTGAGGAGCTCTTTTGCAAAACAATGTAAGTGATACATAAAGTATAATTGTTAAATGACAATAAATAAGTAGGTGCTATTTTAATTTAATAAAAATTTTCGCTATCGTTACGTGGATATGTTACGTCTTAATATTTATTCACTTATGATACAAGTTCGCAAATGGGTTAATATTATAATTTTAGACTTTATCATCACTTTTTCATTTATCTGCGTAGCAAGCTTTTGCATCATGAATACTTAATATATATATGTAAACGATTAAATTGCATTTGTATGAAAGACAAATGAAATAAATAATAAATATATATCCATAACATAAAGCAGGCACGGATTGAATAAAATTTCTTTCACCCTCCACAGTAAATGGAACCTTCATACAGGCCAATAATTTAATTAATGTAAAAATTAGTAATGCATACAGTTTTTATTGATTGTAACTAATATGACACCATGACCCTGATATCAGTCCTTTCCATGAAAAATGTCCCACGCCTTACCCGTGACTTAGGTAAAGTGCAAATATTATTTTCTTTGTCCATTTATATATACATAATACATTGAATATATTGATTACGTGAACTATTATCATTAATTTGTATTAAATTATGTATTTAATATCCTTGTAATACATTATACATAACTGCATCGGTAATTACGGCGATTTTTACTAGTATCCTTCAAATTTTTCATACAAAGATTAAATGCCTCAAGGCTTGGAATTAAGTAATATTTATTGAATAATTACAGAGAGTTTTTGTATCTTTTTGTAATAGAAAACATTGACAAGATATCTATCAGGATTGATAATTTATTATCTTGTTTGTCGAAAATTGTATATTTAATTTACATTTTTTATCAATTATATCCCAATTATATTAATTATAAGAATCAACTAGGAATATTACCTATGTAGTAAGAGATTTGACGTATAATCTATAAATCTGGATTTTAGAGTTACAACAAAATAAGATTCACACAAAAATCCATATTTCTATTTTTTTTGTAGACAACTATAAAAAAAAGAATTCCTTTTATAAATTCTATATTTCAATACTTTTTTTTTAATATAATTCATTAGTTTAATTAGACATATTTAAAATATTCGAGCTTTTATCGTTAAGTTTGAGAATATAAAACGTTAAAAATATCAAGAAAATTAATTTTTTCGACTTACGAAAGTTTGATATAAAAATCCTGTAAATTCCTTTTCGATCGTTGTAAAGACAATTAAAGCTACCGGCTCTATATTCACATAAAACTGCTTGTTCCACAACAAAGTATAAATACGTTTCTAGTAAAATTATTTCGATGAATTGCAACTTGTATAGTACTGAATGTAATATGATAAGAAATCATTTCCTTGTAATGTGATTATCGATTGATATTATATAACTATTATAGTATTATTTTTTGTTTTAATTATTTATATTAATACATTATTAATATAATTATATTTTAAACAGTCGAACAAGGTATCAGCTGTGTCAGAGACGCGGCAAATCGTCGTTGGAATGGTTGACGCGACGAAGAACAATAAAATTAAGACATCCAAATACAGCCTGCTTCTCTTCATCCCAAAGAACCTGACTGAACAGTTCAGAAGAATAGTTAACTTCTACTTCTTGATAGTAACCGTTATCGCCATTGTTATTGGTATTTATTTTTTACATTATTCATAGCTAAGTCAGAATTATAAGTAGGTACATCCAATTAATCCTTAAAACATTATTTTTATCCAACCAACATCTGTCTAAAGCCTTTCATTTGTGCTTAAATAGAGAAGATAAAACAAATCTTTGGAATTAATAAAAAAACTGATCACAGAATCGCCAAAGATAATTAATTTTAAGGCCTAAGGCTTTCGTGAGTATTCATTTAAATGAAACTAATAGGTATATTCGGATGTACTACCCGTTTATTGCTAATACTAAACACTCCCAACACTTCAGTTAGTTTGCAACAACCGTAACTAGGGACAGACGTGATGAAAATCTTAACAATTATAATTTTTTTTAGACAGTCCAGTTTCTCCTTTCACGAGTATAGCTCCGTTAAGTTTTATGGTGTTCGTGACGGCTGTGAAGCAAGGATACGAAGACTGGCTGAGACACAAGGCTGACAACAAAGTTAATAATAAAATTGGTAAATTAAACACCGTTTTCCCAATTATCCTTAGTTTTAGAAAGACCGAGCGTGAGGATAATCCTTACTCATCAAAGTTAAATAAACCTTGAGTGCTTCGTCGTAAAATACTTATTGGTGTGTCTTTGTTATATTAGATAACGTATTATTATTGGTATTGAGGAAATAAATATAATTTATATTATATCAGTCTAATGATTCATTGAACTTTCAGGACTAGTGTACTTGTGATTTGATAATATTATCAAGATAATAATTTATTGGACCATAATTTTTAATATTAGGTATCGTGCATACATTTTATTGCGATTAACTGTTTTTAATTTAGAAAAATTAACTAATTCTGATATTTAAATACATGTATATAAGAGTAATTTTCGTTTGCTTATAGTTAAAGTAGCGTAAAAACTTATTTAAGGACGTCCGGTCGTTCACAGAATATTAAAATATTAATATAGTCTTTCAAATGTTTATAGAGTATGATTTAGATCAGTATGTTTTTAGTTCCAATTGAGATTATCAGTAGATATTATTTAAAGTTAATAAAACTAACACTAGTCATTGCCGTTGAGGAAAACATATCCTAGATAAATAAAAAATTGCTATACTCAACTTTATCGATTTCTATCCAAACATACAAAATAAAATTGCATTAACTCATTAATGTTGTACAAAAAATATCTATTACCAATTCTAGATAAAAATAATGTACAGTCTTTCAACCACGCGTACTTATTTTTTGTTTCTGATCAGCATTACTGTTTTTTTATATCCCTGAATTTCACTACTTTAAAAAACATATTTTTTACAGTGGAGATAGTCCACAAAGGAGTTATCCAAGAAGTGAAAAACTCCACTATAGCACCAGGCACATTAGTGCGAGTTAAACGTGGTAGGGAAGTGCCCGCGGATTTAGTGCTGTTATGTTCAGCGGGAGAGAAAGGAAAATGTTTTGTAACCACAGCCAACTTGGATGGAGAAACAAATCTTAAAACATTGAGAGTTCCAGCACCCTTAGTTGGTTATACTGCAGGTATTATAATTGTATTTAACATAATATAAGTCTAATTCCTTTAAATGCAACTATATTCTACACGTGCTTTATTTTTGCAAAAAACTACCTACTCCCGACGTTTCGGTTACTTTTCACTTTTCAGCAACTGTGATCACGGACAGACGAGGTGTGAATGCCTGTCAAATTCCTTACTAAAAACTTTAAATACATATTCAAAACAAAGCTATTATATGTATCCAAAAGTTTGTACTTATTTTTTTGTTAATATGCTATATAACTGTTGGTAATTTCAGACATTTTGCCACAAAACATGAGAATCGAAGTGCCGAATCCAGTTGCTGATTTATACACATTCTACGGTCGTTTGGATATTCCCGGTTTCGACAACAAAGTTCTTAGCACTGACCATCTGATGCTGAGAGGATCGAGGGTCAAGAATACGGAATGGGCAATAGGATGCGCTGTTTACACTGGTAAAATTGTTTCCTAATAAAAAAAAATACTGAGAAATTAATCACAAATAATCTTTAGTATTAATTTACATTTATATCATTTCCAGGAGAAGAAACAAAGCTGGCTCTCAATTCAAAATATTCAGGAAATAAGTTTTCATCTAGCGAATCCGCTGTCAATAGTTCTCTAGTAGTTTATATTATTGTTCTGTTAGCAGCAATGATATTATCATTCGTTGCCAAGTACATTATAGATAAACGCAACAAGGGTCGCAACGTTTACTTGGGAGAAGAAACTAGCAATCCATTATCAGCTTCGTCTGTTATTCAAGACCTCTTTTCATTTTTGCTCCTCTACTACTACATTATTCCTATGTCGTTATATGTGACTATAGAATTGTACAAATTTATAGGTAAATTTCTTTATTATGTAGTCTTCATTTGGATTACGAAGAAATTGTAAGCATTTTAATCTATTTTAATTTGTAGGTGCTCTTTTCATTGGATGGGATCAGGAATTACGATGCGAAGTAACAGGTAGACCCGCTATAGCTAACACGTCGGACCTCAATGAAGATTTGGGCCAAGTAGAAGTTCTCTTCTCTGACAAAACTGGTACATTGACCAAAAACCTCATGGTCTTCAAAGCGTGTTCCGTCAATGGACAAATTTATGAAGAAAGGGAATCTAAGTTATACGACACCGAACGTTTCGACGAGCCCGTTGATATATTTCAGGTCGAAAATAATTTTAATTCTGCACCAATAATATCTTTGTTAGCTTGAATTGAAGTAGATAAATGAAGTACCTACTATTTGAAAGTTTTATTATGTCAACATATAAAATATTTTGACGCTATCACATTTTAAACATGGAGTAGCTTTCAGATAAATATTTTATAAATGTATACGGCAAGTAGCCACAATGACTCTTGATATTTGATTGACTCACATGTTCATTGATAAAATACTATCAACACGATATCAAACATATATGAAAATATCGAATTTTATATGTATATTGTAGCTTATTCTTTTATTTCAGACAGACATCAAATTTTTCTTCACTATACTCGCTCTATGCCATTCCGTGCAAGTTTCAAGCGAAGATATGAAAAGGCTCAGCGCCAAATTATCTTCAAGCCCTAATTTACAAATATTAAAAATATTCAAAAGGACCAAACAGAGCAAAGTTAGCAATGACGATAGCGCGGAAGACAAAACCTGGATTAATAATATAAGCGAGAATACTAATAGTCTTGACTATCAAGGCAGTAGTCCGGATGAAAAGGCGCTTGTTGAGGCAGCCGATAGAGTCGGTGTGACGTTCTTAGGTGAAGAAGGAAATAATCTGTTACTCAGAGTTTCAGACGCCACAGAAATGTATGAGAGACTGCAGATTATAGAATTCACGTCGGAGAGAAAAAGAATGTCAGTTATCGTAAAAGATAAAGATGGCAAGGTCAGTTACACTTCCTCGGGCAAAACCTTGTGAGATAGGCCATATCTTAAGAGTTCATAAATTTTTTTCGCTGTTTCATAATCTATAATCTTGTTTTTAAATTCTTATCATTTCAAAAATTTTAATGGTTGTAATGTAAGTGCAGATTGAAATAAGATTTTATCTATTTGTGTTATAGATATGGCTGTTTTGTAAGGGAGCGGAGAGTTCAATTTATCCACTTTGTAAAGATAGTACATCTATTGGGGAAGTTGACAAAGATATTAATTATTTTGCAAGCAAAGGACTGCGAACACTAGCCGTAGCGTACAGGGAAATATCACAAGAGGAATATGACAAAGTCTCCAATTGTAAGTAGGCAGAACATTGTAACAGTATTCATTGAAACAGTCTAAGAATATATTGAAATTCTCTCAAAGGCATTTGATAGTAGTGAATATACCAAAAATAATTTAATTTAAACAATGTTTCATTATATTAATTAATTAATTAATTCACCTAATTAACAGAAAGTACCCTATACGAAAACTCAAATATCTTAAAACATAATCTGTCGTAAATTTATCAAATTAATGGATAGAATTTTAATCTATATATTACTCCAATGGTTTTGAAACAGATTCAAAATGTAGCTTATAATATATTTATATATATGCTCGTATTTATCAAGCTATCAAAGAACTGGAGGGTACAAGCGCGGCAGCGTTACAGCAAGCAACACAGCAGTTCCGCAGTCTGGAGGCAGATCTCATACTGGCTGGAGCGACCGCTGTGGAGGACTGTTTGCAAGATGGAGTCGCTGACACACTCGCCGCACTCAGAGCGGCCGGCGTTAGGACGTGGGTTCTTACAGGAGATAAGGTGAGTTAAAATATAAGGGAAGTAGATGAAATAAAAGAAGATAGACTAAGGTAGGTACATAGAAAAGTTAATAGATAAAAGTATGTAGATAGATAGAAAAGTTAATAGATTTAAGTAGGTAGATAGAAAAGTAGATATACAAAATTGAGTAGATAGAAAAGTAGGTAGATGACACTAGATAGATAGATAGATAGACAAGTAAGATAAACGAAAATAGGAGTGTAATTATTAGGATAGAGTTTATTATAACATGTTATACATATTACCCCATTTAGGAATTATTAGTATTTATTTTGTGTTTTTTTTTTTAATTACGTCTTGGCATTTTTAGGTCAACACGTTAAGAAGACACGAAATAATATAACTCAACAATTAATTTCTTAGTCTAACCTCAAAACAAACACTCTTTGTCTTCCTGTTACTCAACAACGGCATCTGCTGTTGTGTCGTTAAAGCAATTAGTAAAAGCAATAAGCAAAAAGTAGTATTATTATTCGCCAATAGATGTCAGGAAGAGTCATTATTTAAACGAGTCCTTTTTGTGATTTTTATTCATAAACTATCATTTTCTAAAAATGATTTCTAGCTAGACAAAAATTGCTCATTTAAAGATATAAGATAAGATTTCATAGAGGTCGGTAGTGACGAAAAAATTATGGACATAGAAATTGTTACTTTCATGAATACTTATAGCAATTGAAAGCTATCGTCGTGTAGTTATATTTGTATTTCAAGTTTAATATTCGTGTTTTAGATAGAAACGGCTATAAATGTAGCCCAATCTTGTTCACACATATCCGAGAACGACAAACGGCTGTTCCTAGTCGGAATAAACAACGAGGAATCATTACAAGCCAGTCTGGATATATGCAATCGTACGTTAGAAGAGCCGTCGTATAAGGACCTGACTCTCATAGTAGATGGCACCAGTATGAGCTGGATCCTCGACACTCCAGTTGATAAAGTGTTCGTGGACATTTCCCTCAAATGCAAGGCAGTTCTTTGTTGTAGACTGTCACCCATACAGAAAGCTAAGGTAAGTCTCGCTTATGATGTTAATGTAATATCTAAGACTTTCGCGTGTTTTTATTGAAATAAAACTAATATTAATCGGATGTACTACGTATTTTGAATTATTTCAACTATATACTCCAGACGTTTAGGGTAATTTGCAGCAATCTCGTTTTCGTGAACACGGTTGCTGCAAAGTACCTAACCGAAACGTCGGGAGAATGTAGTTAAAAACAATTTGAAACGATTAGTTATTCGAAAATATTAATTTTATTTCAATTATGTTCATGTTAGAGTTCTTTGTATTATGAATCATATTATTTGTAATATTTCGGTTAAACTTGTGTTATTGGACATTTACCGTTTGCTTACGTACAGAACAAGTAAATCGATAATTCCTTAGTGACTTCAGCAAACAAAAAAAAAATCTTATTTTTAATGTATTGCATCTTCTTTCTCATAAACATTATATATAGCGTGTCTTTTTTAATTTAGCTCAAATATAAAAAAGATATATATTTAAGGGAAACCCGCTTTGTAATTTGATGCCTACAATCTCGTGCTTTTATACTTCAGCAGTTTATGTTGGAAATAATTTTGTAATCTACATTTTTTACTAAACATATTAAGGACATAAGTTAAATATAATATTTCAGATAGTAAAACTTATAAAGAACAGTCGCGAGCGTCCAATAACAGCCGCTATAGGAGACGGAGCTAATGACATATCAATGATTCAAGAAGCTCACGTGGGCTTCGGACTATTCGGGAAGGAGGGACACCAGGCAGCTAGGTAGATAGAATTTTATTTAATTGATTGACAGATCCACTAGCTGTGCCTGTAGGCTGTAGCTTTAATACTTATCCTTAGTTTGAGTAGGTTTATTTTAAAATTATATATTAGTTGCATATTTTTTCATTATTTGTATGAAACTGTTATAAATAGTCGTTATTCAGCTTTGTGCTATTAATTGAAACAATATATTATCAAAAGCATGAATATTTAAAATTATTGTTAAAATGAGTTCTGTAAATTTGACAATCATTAAATAAATGTACACTACATTAATATTCATACAGACACTCAATATATTTATAAAAGATTTACATATTTACTATTTTACTTTTTACTTGTAAATTTATTTATTTTATTTTTTTCACAACTATTATTTTTAACCTCAGTATATTATTAAGTGATGCCTATTTTAGGGAACTTTTCTTATATAATGTTATTTATAATTTATTATTATTTTTCAATTTAAATCATTTTTTTATCATTAAGGTCAGCTGATTTTGCATTTACGAAGTTTGCTATGGTGAAAAAAATGCTACTAGTGATGGGACACTGGTACTACCAGAGACTGGCGACCCTCGTACATTACTTCTTTTATAAAAATCTGGTCCTTGGTATTTTGATGGTAAATTTTCCAAAACTATCATCATCAACAATAATCCCATAAGAATTTGTATCAATTTACGTTTATAATAATATATCTATATTTCAACATGCATTATTTTGGTTTTGCACTAAATAAATTGTAGACAATATAATTATGTAGAAAGCTGTAGTTATTTTTCATTATAAGTAATGTACAACAGTGCTTGAAATCTTTCATATGACACATTCGATTTATTTTCTTGTATCATTTTTAAGTGTATATAAATAACTACAATTATTTAATAAAAATGTATAAGTTTTATCGTTTAATTACCGGTTACGATGTCTAATGTATATAATCTGTTTCAGTTACTATTTCAAACGGATTCAGCTTTCTCAACACAATCTATATTCGACTCGTTGTATTTGACGTTTTATAATCTGTTCTTCACTTCCGTTCCGTGTTTGCTTCTCTCTGTCACAGACCAGAGATGGCCAGCCAAGCTGTTGATGAAGTAAGAATACGTCTCATAAATTATTTCTATAGTAAAATAAAAATAACTTGATATATTTCATAATACACAATACAAAAAAGGTTATAGTTAAACAAACCAAGCAACTAAAGCAAAGTTACAAATCTAAAATATTTAAAAACTATTTAAAATTACCTTACACTGGCACACATTGTAAAGACTGAAATCTGAAAATTTATTTGTGTCAAATAATTTTTTCATAGAATACATATTTTTAGTCTGTTTTTTGTTAAATTAATTAATAATATTTTAAATTCTGAACAGACACAATATGAATTCTTGATTGTATGAAATGAAAATAAATAAAATTGGCTTTATTAAAGAAAATATCTGTCGTCAATTAATTTAAATAGAGTTAGCTAATTACAAAATTTAAATTAACTTTCCAGGAACCCAGCACTATATAAAAATATAAAGAAGAACCAGTTGTTCTCTTGGATGTATTTCGCTGCTTGGTTTATATCGGCGCTCTATCATTCACTTATCATATATTATTTCTCTAAAATGTTATTTGAAGTTGCTGTTATTGATGGGGACGGAAAAAATGTGGATCTATGGTAAGATGTTAATATAAATAAAGGTATAATTACATAATAAAATAATATATGTATATAATTAATTAATTTTCATTGTCTTTATACTCAGGTGTTTCGGAGCTGTGCTTTTTCATCTTATGCTAGTAGTGGTAACACTACGACTAATACTACAGGCGCGCTATCAAACATTAGTTTTCTTAATGACGGCCACACTCTCCGTCCTTGTATATATGGCCTTTAATACTGTTTATTCCATAATATATATGTAAGTATGATTTTATAGGAATTTGGAAAAAATTGCGCTAGAGATATGAATATAATTTGTAATTCGATTATTATTTTTTTACAGACCTCTCGACGGTGATGTCTTGGGTACTTACACAAGATTACTGGCTTCACCATCTTTCTGGTTTTTGAATTTAAGTGTTATTGTTAGCACTATGACACCTGACCTTTGCATTCGCCTTATATCCGAAAGAAGAAGTCGCCGGAACTTACATTTGGATACTCGTACCGACACTGTTTTTTCCACACGACTTTAATTTTTCTTAACGCATTTCGACAACATGTTCTAGATTTATTTGTTTATGATGTCAATTTTCTCACTTTATTTTCCTAATTACGTAACATAAGATTTTAAGGTAATGAAAACTTCTATAAGGCTGTAATTTTAAAATGTTTAAAAAACGTTATATTTAATTAAATTATTAATAAACAGGGACCAGTTAATAACTTAATTAGTAATTAAGATATTTTTCTCAATCTAGTCATTTAAGAAATGTAGTAATAAGAGTAGTGAATTAGTTAGAGGATTTTGTGTGAAAATTTTAAGTTAAATATGGAGTTTTCAACAGATAGAATAAAATCTTCAAAATATTTTTTCAATACTTTCTTGTAAACATTGTTTCTTTAATTATGTACAACTAAGACTATTTGTGGATGTTTTTACTTCGACAACATATAAGTAGTAACAGATTTACAATAAGTTTAAAAGAATTAACGGGGAAAATCGTTTGAATAAGTATTAACAAATGTTTTATTTCAACATTTCGCCTGTTTTTATACAACAAAATAAGAAATTAGTTCTAGTAATAATCTTGATCAAATTGTAAAAAAAATCATATCATTGAACAAAAGCTTAGCCTGTGTAAAATATTGTGATATGCAAAACTATTTTAGTAGACAAATATATAACAGAAAAATAACGTAACACTTATAAACTATAGTAAAATTTTGAGTGTATGACATTTAAAATTAAAAAATCATTACATAATTGAACTGAATCGACAGATATGGATAATTTTGTAAAATGATAAGACTTGGAAGCATTAAAAAAAACATACTTTGTATTTTCATTGACTAATTGCCTTGCTTAAAGTAAAATATGTGATACACATATACCTACATGCTCTGGCGATTTTATATTGAAAAGTTATAAAAATTGGTCTTTACGATTAATTAATTTTGCAACATATATTTAAAGAAATATTGGGCATACCCTGGCTAAAGCTGGGAAATTGCCAGGAAGAAGAAGATATTTAAAGAAATATTTTGCTATATAAAATACAAAGAGAGATCTTCTACAGACAGACTTAGTTGTCTTTCAAAATAATAAAAGGTAAAAAGGACCCAAATTTGCAAATGTATAAAAACCTATAATTTTTATAATAAATCATTCTCATAAAATACAGTAAGGACAATAGAGGTAAAAATTCACTTTTCCTGTACAGAGATTCTTATAAAATAATATACTATAGAGTTAAAAAAGGATTTTTGTACTTGGAAACATTTAAAGGCTAGGCTGCCCCTTTTGCTGCAGCTTAGCTTACGTCATATAAAGAAAAATCAAATTTTAAATTGTTTAGTAGGCATTATTAATCAAATCTTCGTGGGATAAAAGAGTGTATTATTAAGTAAAACTTATTTTACAAAAAACTTAAATTCACACAATAGAATGTTAAAGTACAACTGAAAATTAATAAAACTAATTGTTTTATGTAAGTTGTGTTTTATTTTTAATAACTTACTAATGATAAAGAATAATAAATATGCGTAGTTTTTATTCATTCAAAAGTATTTACTATTTTTCTTTTTAAATAAAGATATTACTCTATATTACTCTTTAGCCGTCTTATATTTTCGAATTGTAGCATTGTTATTTTTTCTATTTAAATAATAATTGAAGGAAAAATCAGTATAATGGTAGAACAATTAGCTTCCTATATTAGAATTGAAATATTATTTAACCGATTTTTTCGAAACATTTCTAAAAACTATCCGATCTCTGTTAACTGCCAAAGTCAATGTCTTAATAAATTGTCAAATAATTTTGAAACATTCAATTTTTAGCGTCGTTGTTGTTTTCTTTCACTGTTTAATCAAAGTATTATTATAAATCGACATAATCGATTGACAATTAGTTTAATATACCTATAATGAGAATTTAATTGCATCCGTTTTTTATTTATTTATTACATGATTAGAACAACATGAACTTAGAATTACTTGGTTGGTAAATGTGGATAGAAATTCATTTAATTTGATTCAATGTTATTAATCCAATTTGTTTTTTATTTCTAGAATCGTTTGGCCAAAATTATCCAGAGGTGAGTAGCTTATAATCACCTTCGTGAATTGTTTACGTATGTTTTGTCTTGATCTAGAAAATGACAAATATTTTTGACTTCTCAAACCATAGGAGTTTGATGGCACATTAGATTCCATTTCCCTCGCGGCGACGTGCGCATTTAACCGTCGCGGTACTCTTCTGGCAGTGGGTTGTAATGATGGAAGGATATTCATCTGGGACTTTCTTACAAGAGGCATCGCTAAATCTATATCAGCACATGTCTATCCAGTGTGCAGTTTGAGTTGGTCAAGAAACTGTAAAAAGGTTAGTTTTCTAAATTGTCTTTTTAATATTTTCTTGTATATTTCTTTTAGATTAGGTATCACTTTCCATGAAGTAATTAGTAAATTGAATTATCATAACAAGTAGTATACTTAAAAGACAGCATATCATAATAAAATTAAAAACACATCCAACTCATTGATGGATGAAATATCCTCTTATATAATAAATTCAGTTTCATGTTATGTTTACATTTTTTATTTGTTGTATACATTATATTATAATTTTTAAACAAATATTAATGTTCTCATGTAGTTTATAATTAAATCTAGCATTATGTTTCAGTTACTCTCAGCATCCACTGACCACAATGTATGTATTTGGGACGTTCTCTCTGGTGAATGTGAACAACGGTACAGATTCCCAACGCCAATATTACGTGTTCAGTTTGATCCTAGAAATGATAAGAGATTCCTCGTTTGTCCGATGAGACACGCTGCTTTGTTGGTTGATACTGACGGTGAACATAAAATTCTGCCCATTGATGAAGATGTAAGTACATATTGAAAAATCTTGAAGATGTAAGTACATATTGAAAAATCTCAAGAACAGCTGTAGGGATATGGTTGAAAATTTGTGAAGTGATAGCTTAAAAGTAGCTAAAGGACATAGGATACTTTTCAACTTATTGAAAAAGAAAAAAATAATAATTGGATCAAATCCAAAATCTTTTTATCTTTGAGGAGGAATAGAGTTTGCCTGGTTAGCTGACCAGAAATGTATAGTTATACATTTCTAATTGTGAAACTAACACAGACAAAGTTGTAGGCAAAAAGTAGTCTCTTATACTCATTGTACAAATGCTATATAAAAATTTATTCCACCTATAAACCATTAACTTATTTTTTCATATATTTATACATATGTATATATTTATGACATAATATATGTTCCAGGGTGACACAAATGTGATTGCATCATTTGATAGGCGAGGTGATTTTGTATACACGGGGAATGCTAAGGGTAAAATATTAATACTCGACTCGCAACAGCTAACAGTAAAGGCGAGCTTCAAAATAACTGTCGGTACTTCAAGCACTACCGGGATAAAGAGTATTGAGTTTGCAAGAAGAGGAGAGTAAGTTGTATTAAATACTACATTACATGATAGTTTTTATTAAGGGTACCTAATAAATGTTTGATTGGGTTTGAATTAAAGGAGTTATATTTTGTATAGACTTAACTTTGTGATTTGATTTCACATTTCCTTACATATTATTGTAATCGTAATATTTTCTTAGAGGACTATGAAATTGTTGTTTAAATTTTTGAAAATATACATTTATATTATATTTCTTTAATATTTTCAGCTGTTTCCTTGTAAATACATCAGACAGAGTGATCAGAGTGTATGACGCCAACACAGTTGTGAAGTGTGGTGTGAACGGGGAACCAGAACCTATACAAAAGTTACAGGATCTTGTTAATAAGTATGATCATTAACTAAGATGATGTTTGGAAATATAATATTATAGTCTCTAAAAGTAATATTACAATCCCTAAATATAATATTTGAGTCTCTAAATGTAATATTAAAGTTTCCAAATATAATATTAAAGTCCCTAAATATAATATTTGAGTCTCCAAATGTATAGGGAGTGTAATAACTCCCTATATAATAGTATTAGTTTTTTTAACAGTGGAATGTATTTTATTTTACTTTCATCAGAACTACATGGAAAAAGTGTTGTTTTTCTGGAGACGGTGAATACATATGTGCTGGGTCAGCTCGTCAACATGCATTATATATATGGGAGAAGTCTATAGGAAACCTTGTGAAAATACTCCACGGCACTAAAGGAGAACTTCTATTAGATGTTGTGTGGCATCCAGTGAGACCCATCATAGCTAGCATTAGTGCTGGTAAATATTGTTTACTTATATCTTATGTACTAGCTTATATGGGGCATAATTTACAAAAACAGTGCCTGGGACTTGCGACCCAGGTGTAGGTTTAAGGGATCCTATCTAAAGCGCGTTAAACGCTCCCCTCCACTGTCCAAGCTCCTCTCTCTACCTAACGAAAATTTGAAAAGAAACTATAAGGTATTCTGGATCTCGGATTGGACCATAATCATGGATAGTCACGATTAATCCTTGGGATGCTGAGAATTTTCGTCTCATTGTATATCGATTGCATATGACAATTCATATTTCAAATTGATACATACTGATTTTCAATAAAAGTATATTTTCCTACGGACCTATTCCTTCCCATAACGTGCAGTTTCATCAAGTGTATTTATTATAGTAATTGCAAACTTTTCTAGGTGTGGTGTCAATATGGGCTCAGAATCAAGTAGAGAACTGGTCGGCGTTCGCTCCTGACTTTAAAGAATTGGATGAAAATGTTGAATATGAGGAGAGAGAGAGTGAGTTCGATGTTGAGGATGAAGACCGCTCTGTGGACCAAGGCGGGGATAGTAGGGACGATGAGGAAGTTGAGGTGATGATTATATAATACTAGATTTCCCCGCGGTGTTACCCGGATTTCCGGGATGTAAAGTAGCCTATGTGCTATTCCTGGACGTCAGCTTCCTGTATACAAAATTTCATCAAAATCGGTTCTGCCGTTTGAGCGTGAAGAAATAACAAACATACACAAACTTTTGCGATTATAATATTAGTAGGATAGTGCAGTATAGTAGTAGAGTACGGGGCTCTTTCACGTATAATATACTTTATACTTATCACGAGTTTAGCAGTCAAACTGCAGATGCAGTCTCAAGTTTTCTATAACCATACATTATTTTTGTAAGTGATGGTTTATCATTGATGTACTGGAAATTTCATACTGTGTGAGATCCCGACTCAAGTCGTAAGAGCATAATGGATTATGTTTAAAAGAACCTAACAATTAACTTTATATAACATTAGCTGTATGTAAAGTATTGTGACACACGATAGATGTCGCTGGTAGTCGATTAATAACTGTTATAAGCAAACGGCGAGTCAGTAGATTATTAAATTATTTAGAACGGCTTTAGTCCGTATGTTAATTATATTTATCCCCGACTTTAAATAGAATTTAATATGGATTGTTCCTAACTAATCCATTAATATTGGCAAAACAAAAATCCGTATGAAATAATGCGAATTGTGCAGCAAGACTCTTGCTATAGTTAATTTAGTGCTAGTGTAGTTTCTCCATGTGTGTCGCCTGCTTTATTATTGATGACACGCGCCTCATTTGTAGGTGGATGTGACCACTTGCTCCGCGGTGGCTGCCTTTTGCAGTTCAGACGAAGACGCGGAAGATGACACATTACTGGCCTTCCTACCGATAGCACCGGAAATAGAGGACCCGGAGGTATATAATAATATAAACACTAAATAATAACTAATTGTGCAAAAAATTACCTTAAAAGTCGTTAATATAGAAAATATTTCAACTCAAACTTCTGATAATCTGCTTTCAGTGCAGATACGCGGAATTATTTATCCAACGTTAGTTACGCGGACTTACACTATCCCTGACGATATACTAATATACATTGTGACTGGTGAATTACTATCAATATTAAAGGAGAATACTCGGTACATGATTCTCATTCGAATTATGTAAAAAAAATTGGTACTTAATTTTTGACCAAATTTTCGTATAAATAAATTATACTATTTGCGCTGTAGCATGGTGCGGGTGACAGTTTCAATAACGTTTCGTTTCACTCTTGAAAGTTGCCGCAATTTACAAATTATGACTTAGTATTTCAGCTGTACCACATTCGTAATAAATTAAATCATTAATTACTGAAGTAGTTTAAATTAAACCAAACCAGAATGTTCTAGTGTACAAATATAATCTAATGGAAAGAAAAATTAAGCAAAGTATTATGCGTTTAACGTAATGCCATAGACGTATCTAGTGATGGGATGTACTGCTACAATGGATAGTCGATGTTTTTTTTATAATAAAAAAATATACATATATTGGCTGTAGTTCAATTATTATTGTAAAAAGTCTATAATTATATTAATGTAACAACAGATCTTATATAAAGATGATTTTATTCGTCTAAACTCATATCAGAACCAGGAACATCTGAATTGTCATTAAATTCATCATCTGTATCTGTGACGGATATTATTAACGATGAGTTAATAATGGTGTAATTAATGTTGTTACGAAAAAAAATCATAAACCCGATTTTAATTATTTTATATAAGTACTATATTATTTATACTGCGAGTATCGTTAGTGATAAAAATGAATTACGCAACATCACTAGTCATATGGTACTGACAGATATTAACGTCATATAGGCAAATGTCACCCGCACCAAGCTACAGCGCAAATAGTATAAGTGTGGACACGTTTCAAGTGTGGACGCGTGCGGCGACGTGCTGATACAACACCACGCCGCCGCACGCGTGTGTGTGTGTGTGTATACCTAATCTGTAGGGTGTTCACACGATGCGTAATTAATTACATAACTTTTGGTTAACTTTACTTAGAAGTTTATTAATATTTACATTATATTAATTTTTATTTTGTCATATATGATCGTCAAATATCACGTCCTCAAATATCGATAGTAATTCACCAGTCACCCTGTATAATGTTATTATTGATCATATTCATATATAGGCCAGTGCAGAACCCTTTAAAATTAATGAAAAGTGAAAATAAACTATAGTAGAATGAAACTCATTAGAAAAGAAGGGGAATATTATAAAATTAAAGGAAAATAATTTACGGGCGATCTGAGGTCGGGAAGGGTACGGGGGTGGGTATTTAAGGGTAAAAAATGTTTTTTTTTCGATTTCCGGCAAAACTAAAAGACCTACGGAAAAATGTTATATGGCTAAGTTGTAGGTAATAAAAAGACCTAAAACTTTTATACTAACATTTTTTTCACATAACCTTAAAATTTATGTGAAAAATTCTAAAAACCAAGTTTTTGTTTTTTTTTTATTTTTATCTCTTACAAAAAACAATATTTTGTCACGAAATTTGGTGAAAACTTTCCTTTTGATGTTACAAATACACTGTAATTTATTTGCTTAGAAATATTTATTTTTTCAGCTTATTTTGAATAAATATCGAAAAATCAGTCTCATTTTCAATCGACAAATCACCCGTCAAAATATCAGCTATGTATTTTCAAAAATTTGGTATGATTTCAATTTTTAGAAATTTCTGTTTTTCGATGGTGAAGAAAAAAATATAAGTTTCTAACTTGCAGTAACATTTTTGCATACAATAATCATGTCCCTTTTAATAAATGACACTCGATATCGTTTGGAAAATGCTCTTTCAATTTATTTTTAATAATTTTTGCAGCTTAATGTCAATTTTCTGTAAATTACCTAAAAGAGGGACTATCTGGAGAACTTCTAGAGTACACAACTGTTAAAAATAAATTAGAAATATAATAGATTATTTTGTCCAAAATGGTACTGTAAGTGAGAAACTTATATTTTTTCTTCATCATCGAAAAATAGAGATTTCAACAAATTGAAATCATACCAAATTTTTGAAAATAGCTGATATTTTGACGGGTGATTTTTCGATTGAAAATGAGACTGATTTTTCGATATTTATTCAAAACTAGAAGACCTGGCGAACTTCGTATCGCCCTATAATCAAGAAATATCTATTACGTTTTTTTATTTATATTTTTGGAGTTTATCTGTAAGCCATAAATCTCCGTGTTTTGAAGTGCGACAGAATGATTGACATATTAGTTAGTTGTCAAATCTAATGTCAAAAAAAACGTTTGTATGGGAAATAGAAAAGGGCTGTTTTTATGGTTTTCCCAGTAATGAATCAATTTTTTTAAGCTTTTATACCTTCCCTGAACCTCCACGAACATTTCAAGACTAAGATGTTCTCGAGTTTTAGCGAGACTAAGGAACAGCAATCCATTTTTATATATATAGAAGATAAGGTGAAAAAATAAATATTTCTAAGTAAATAAATTACAGTGTATTTGTCATCAAAAAAAAGTTTTCACCAAATTTCGTGACAAAATATTGTTTTTTATAAGAGATAAAAATAAAAAACCAAAAACTTGGTTTTTAGAATTTTTCACATAAATTTTAAGGTTATGTGAAAAAACTGTTATATAACATTTTCCGTAGGACTTTTAGTTTTGCCTGAAATCGAGAAAAGTCATTTTTTACCCTTAATTACCCATCCCCGTACCCTTCCCGACCTCAGATCGCCCGTTAATTATTTTTCCTTTAATTTTTATAATATTCCCCTCCTTTTCTTATGAGTTCATTCTACTATAATTTAATTATGTTTTAAAAGCTATCGGCACTGGTCTAATAATATACTACACTTATATAATATACTATATTTTATTATTTTTGAATTATTATATTATCGTGACATAAAATTTCCATGACCAGGACGGCTGGGCGGCGACTCAAGAGACGGTGACTCCGAGCGAGACTCCTGAGAAACTGGAACCAGCGGCCAAGAGGCCCAAGAGCAAGACATACGACATAACACTCAAGATAACGCCGCAGGAACAACCTCTCAGCTTCGGTGGAAAGAACAAACAGGCGGCCGGGAGCAAGAAGGTCGCGGGCAGACCCCGGAAATAAACATATAGAGACCGGACAACGACTTTTATTACACACAATGAAACCAACGTGTAAGAGAAAACATTTATTTGCAAAAAGAAATAATGGGTTCTTTAATAGAATTCGTATTCAGAGTATACTGTAAGTACTTATCGTTCCGTGTATAAATAAATCTCACTTAACATAAACAAAAAATAATATTACATCGCTCTATTCGAGACCAAAAAGACTCGTCAGACCTCGTCGAGCCGAACGTTGACTTTCAATATACATGGCGTACGACGCGGCGCCCGACGGTATAAATAAAATTATCTATGTCAATATTTACATGTGGACCGATAGAGCACTAGGCGTCTATGTCGTCCTCGCGCTGGCTAGAGAAGTAGCTGACGAGGCCCCCGAACACGCCGTCCTCCTCGCGGGCCTCCGACTCTAGCTTGACGAGGGGCCTGCACCCCGCCGGGGGGCCTCGGAGAGGGGGCTTCACGTCCGGGGGGGACGCGCGCTCCGGGGGCGGCGTCGGCCCGGCGCGCTCCGGCCGCGGCCGCACGTACGGGTAGTGGGGGGTCATCTCGTGGCCCATGAGGCGGTCCGGCGGTGGGACCTGCATCGGTGGCGGTTCAGGCCCCGGTCGAGGTAGATCGTGCATGAGAGGCCTGACGGGCCCCGGGGGCCTCTCGGGACCTGGGGGCCTCGGCAACTCGTGCATAGCCGGCCGACCCGGTCCGGGCGGACGGTGCATGTCGTGCATTGACAGTCTCTCTGAAGCTGCCGACCTGTGCATGTCGTGCATGAGCGGGCGGTCCGGGCCGGGCGGTCGGTGCATGTTAAGCATCACGAGGCGGTCGGCTCCGGGCGACCTCTGCATGTCGTGCATCACGGCTCGCTCCGGCCCGGGAGGTCTCGTCATGTCGTGCACGGCGTGTCTGTCGGGCCCCGGCGGTCGCGGCAGGTCGTGCATCAGGGGTCTGTCAGGGACCCTGGACAGGTCGTGCGTCATGATCCTGTCGGGTCCGGGGGCTCGCAGCATGTCGTGTAGGACGGGCCGGTCGGGAGGTCCACCCACGGAGCTCGGTCGCGGGACCTCGTGAGGCGGGGGAGGTCGGTCAGGGAACCTGTCCCCCGGAGCGGGCGCGGCGCCTGGCTCCCCGGGCTTCACCTCGTTGGGCATGTATTGTCGGGCGTTAGCGGGCACGCGGTGCATAGGGTTGTGGTGTATTCTTGTCTGTAAGTTAAGAAGAGCTTCTGGCGGAGGTTGCGGGTCGGTAGTGCTCGGCGCGTAAGGTCCGTATGGTCCGTAGTGGGGCGCGTACGGTCCCAGCGGGAACCGAGGCCGGCCGTCCTTGTTCTCCGTGTGTTTGATCTTGGGGTGATTCCTCGGCGGCTCGGGCGAGGGTCGGTGGGCGGGCGAGGGCGGGGGGGACGAGTACTCGGGCTCCGTCTTCACCTCGGCCTTGATGGTGACGGGCGGCTCCTTCTCGGGCTCCAGGGCGGGCGGAGTCGCGGGCGGGGCGGCGGGCGGCGGGGTACGGAAAGGTATAGGTCCGGAGTACGGGGCGCCGGGACGCATGCTCCCTCCCGCCATCAACCCGGGAGACGGGCCGGGGGGCATGGGGCTACTTTGTAGGAGAGGGGACGACACCGGCGGGCCGTGAGGTGGTCCCGGGGGTCCGTGTGGCGTGCCATGGAGCGATGACGGGGGCCCGTGTGGGGGACCTCCGGGCCCGTGTGGAGGTCCCAGTGGACCGTGTGGGGGACCCGGTGGACCATGCGAAGGTCCCGGTGGACCATGCGGAGGTCCCGAAGGCCCATGAGGGAGTCCTGGCGGTCCGTGGTGCATGGGGGGTCCGTGAGGTCTCGGTTGAGGCGAGGCGGGCGGACCAGATGAACGGTAATTGATGGGCTGCAGGTGAGGGAAGTACGGCGGGTACTGGCGCGCGTGCAGGCCGGGGTGCATCTGATACACCGGCACGGGCTGACCTCGCGGACCGTACGAAGAGTTGCCGCCCGGGTACATCATCTGGCCCCTGTTATATACAAACGGAACAATAACATTATTTTATCGTTAATCTCTGTCAAACTAGTAAAGTATAGGGCTAGTAAAGGCTAGTAAAGGGTTTCTGGTAGAGATCTCTTTTAAGAGATAAGTTATCCTTTGTACATCACATTTCTTTTATTTTTTCTATTTTGGTACATAAATAAATAAATAAAGGTGAATAAAAAAAAATTGTAAACATATTCACATATACATATATAAATGATATAGATTATCCATGTACCTGTAGTTGATGACGTGCGGCATGCGTGTGATGACGGAGGGCTCCTCGGGCGCCGGGGCGAAGGGCTGAGGGGAGCCCGCCACCGACAGGGTCCCTGGATACAACACGTGTTATACATGGACATTCACTTCAATAAAATTTATACTTATACTTATTACATTGTATCAAATTTCACTCTGGTCTTATTGATTATATTTATAACAAGCTGACCGCAGACTTCGCACTGCCTCAATCAATAAATATTTTTTTATTTATTTTTTTGGAGTTTACCTATAAGTCATAGATCTCTGTGCTCTGATGTGCGACAGAATGATTGACATATTAGTTAGTTGTCATATCTAATGTAATAAAAAAAACATTTGTATGGGAAATAGAAAACCGCTGTTTTTAGGGTTTTCCCGGAAATGATTAAATTTTTTCAGCTTTGAAACGTTAAACCTTCTCTGAACCTCCACGAACATTTCAAGACTAAGATAAGATAAATCCGTTTAGCCGTTCTGGAGTTTTAGTGAGACTAACGAACAGCAATTAATTTTTATATATACATATACTTATAATTGAGACAGTAAAAATATACCACAAACAAGGGTCTATTTTAAAAATGAATTGAATTAACATATGCTATTTATAAACATAGCTACTTTAAAATCACAAATAGTCACTTCAAATTTATCTAAACAGTAGTATATGTTAATGAATACTAGTTTTTGTCACGTCATACCTTCTCTCATAACATTGTGAGGTATCTCGGGCCGATGGAGAGCTCTCTCATCTGATATGCCACGAAGCTCTGGACGAACCTGTCAAATAATATTCATAATTACCTAATAAAAATACCTATTTCAATCAATCAATATGAATAATTAGCTGCGCCCCGCGGATTTTCGGGATGTAAAGTAGCCTATATGTTATTCCTGGATGTCAGCTTCCCGTATACAAAATTTTATCAAATCGGTTCAGCCATTTGAGCGTTAAGAAGTAACAAACATACACACACACTCACAAACTTCCGCAAATATAATATTAGTAGGATAAACTATATTTATGTATAAATCTCTGTACCTGTAATCTTGGAGGTGGAAATCTATCTTGATATTCAGGGTGTCTCGGCATGGGACTATTATACTCCTGCCTCATACCATATATGGGCATAAAGTCCTTTTCCTTCTTATTCTTCTTACTCTCCTGTAAAGCTATCTTCGCCAATCTCTTTTCCTCCCTCTCCTTAGCCTTCTGTTCTTTTAATTTCTCCTTCTCTTCTTTCTTCTGTATTCTTTCAATCTTCTTAGCTTCCTTCTCGGCTAATTTAGCCTCCCTTTCTTGCCTTTTTTTATCACGTTCAGTCTAAAATTTATTATACTGTTAATTTACCTTTCAAAAAATCTAAAATATAATTAAATTGATACAACTCACTTGGTTTGGTCGCAGAGGGCCAGGGGTGCCATCTGTTCTTAATTCTGAAAAAATAATTAGAAGTAGTATAGCAGTTAGCACCTATATAATTAATAGATATACTATTTTTTTTTATTTATAAGGACAACTTACAAAACATACACTATTTATAGATTTTAAAATAAAGGTAATTACATTTTTAGTTACAATATAAACGTGATCGATGTTGAAGGACTGGAATGTGATCTTTATTTTATTATTTTCAACTTACAATTAATAATTTATACTGAGCGATTTAAAACTAGCTATAACTTTGCTTTTAAATTTTGGCAGACTGTCTCAAAAAATGTCGATATCAATTTTTTGATTTTTTATAAGTAGGTTATACTGTCTAGGTAGCCTACTCATGATAGCATTCTGTCCTAAATTCGTTTTTGAACGTGGAATCGAGAAAGGAACGTATTTACTTGCACGGGGAAACCTTACGGTACATTAAAATTAATTTTTTTTACGAGGTTAGGACAGTCTAACTTGCCATTAACGATTTTGTAAAGCAAAATCTGATCCAATATATGAAAAATAGAATAAAATATACCTTTGATTTTAACACCAACAAGCTTTGAGAGAGCGTCGTCAGTAGACTGGGCAGAGCAGCCAGTAGAGCCTCCGCGACCTCGACCACGCGGTCCTCTGAAAAGTCAAATAAAATCAAAGTAGTAGATTATTGATTGATATTTATTTATTTATATAAGGACAACTTACAAAACATACACCATTTATAAGTTTTAAAATAAAGATAATTACTTTTTTAGCTAAGTGTTGTTTCAGATAAAAGTTATCACGGCATGGAAAAGGACAGTATTTTCTATTAATCTAACACGACATTTTTTTTCTATTTAAATTATACAAAAGGGGAAATTAAAATTATACAAAATTATAGGTATCTAATATATGCAAAAAAAAGGATATTCGACATATTAATGAACTTCCACAAGATTGTCTAAAGTATGTAGTATGTATAAGATATAGTATTTATGTATTGATAAGTATTATGTAAGTGTATATTCCGGACCTGCTGCCACGCCCACGGCCTCGGCCACGCCCACGTGACGTCACACTCTCCGCACACCACTCTGGCAACATTAAGTAGAGCTTCACATATATTATATTTGACACTACAGCTTAAGTACTAGGTTTAAACATAAAGTAGTTAGAATATCTCAGATTAAAATTAAAGTAGGAGTCAGAAATATATATACTTCTTGTAATTCTTTAGCTTATAAATGTTGTTTCACAAAAATATATTTAAATTTACTTGAAACATTCTCATTTATTCTAAAAAGTAGAATTACATCAGTACTAAGCATAAATCATCTCATCTACTTTGGAACATACTATATACATATTAATGAGAAGCAATATTACATTTAAATACAGTTTTATAAATCAGTTTTGTGATCTATTATAATTGTATTATTATTTACTAGCTTTCCGCCCGCAGCTTCGCCCACATCGAGTTCAGTTATATCGCGTTTCCAAGAGTACCTTACAAAAGTCTAGGATAAAAACTGTCCTATGTTCTTTCGCAAGGTCAACTCTATTTCTGTACCAAATTTCATTAAAATCAGTTCAGTGGTTTAGGCGTGAAAGCATATTTTTCATTATTTACCCCCTTTGTGGGTGGAATTTCGTAAAATCCGTTCTTTGCTGACCTCTACTCGGTGAAAGGAATAATCCTTCCAAATTTCAAGTCGCTACGCCTTATGGTTCCAGAGATATCGTGATGAGTCAATATATAGGTGGAAATCTCTTTTATATATATAGATTATTGTTTATATAATACTAATAATATTATTGGCTATATATGAACCTCCTTCACTTGTCTTGATGCTGGTAACATCATCGGGTAGTTTGGTCAGCGGGACCACGGCTGTTTTATTGACAAGGTCGCAGAGGGCGCGCGCCCGTTCGTCGGACTGGTCGCGTGTATCCACTTCCGAGTCGGAACTCGCCGACGAATCTATTTTAAACTCGTCGGAACTATCCGGCATGTGTTTACCGCTTGATTTATGCATCTCCTGTAATATGAGAATTCACATATCATATACATATTACCTATTATTTACATCAGCATTTACAAGTATTATGATAGTATAAACAGTAATAGAGGTTATTGAAACAAATTTTGATTCTATCAACAGCTAATGGGAAGTTGATCATAACTATCTATAAATTTATTTCATTACTATATTATATAAGGATTATTAATTATAAAATAAAAATATAATACAAAAAGAAGCGAGAGTTATTTGGTGTATGAACTATGTGAATGGGTAACACATAAGTAAAAGTTTGTACTTTATATTCCGAATGGGCAGCATGAGCTTATTCATTTATTTACACACACACATACACCAACTAATACAATCTAACTCACATCTTCTGACTCAGTATTGGGCATCTCAGTATAGTTGATTTTCTTTTGTCTAGTTCTGTGTTTCGGTGACCAGTCATTATCTCTTGTTCCAGGTGAGCCGTACGTGACCCTTGCCCTTATAACGTTACCCTCAGAATCGTATTGCGTCAGACGCTTCTTTGACCTGTGACCTTTGGGTCGAGGTGGTCTGGAATTAAGTTATTATATAATAAATAATAAAATACTATAAAAAATTACCAACCCTAAATTATCACTACACAATTATATTGACTTGTGTTAAAGGTACTTAATCAAATAATCATAACTCATATAGGAGAAGAATAGCTCTCATAATGCTGGACTTATATTGATCAAATAATCCCTACTAATATTATAAATGCGAAAGTAACTCTCTGTCTGTTACGCTTTCACGCCTAAACCACTGAACAGATTTTAATGAAATTTGGTACAGAGACAGAGTTGACCTTGAGAAATAACATAGGATAGTTTTTATCCCACACTTTTGAAAGGTTTCTTGGAAACGCGATATAACCGAACTCCACGCGGGCGAAGCTGCGGGCGGAAAGCTAGTAGCCTATATATTATTCTTATATCTCAACAAAATTATTATTAAATTGAATAAGATTCAAAAGCTTTTAAACATTTTACAGACACACTCAACCAGTCCTGGTTACTACATATATTAATATAATCATGTGTATAATATGTAATAAGACAGTACTTTTTTATCTCCTTATCACCGGATTCACTGGAACTGTCTTCAAACACACCTTTCTTCTTTTTTTTGACTTCCGGAGAAGATTCTGATAGTTTAGCTCGATCTGAAAATTAATTAAGTATTGTATATATACTATATAATTAATATTATCAACCAAATCAACCAAAACACGACCAAAGTATGCAAAATCCATAAAGGCAAATATGCAAGCTCACTGCTCAGACTTATAGACATAGTCTAAGAGCGCCAGTTAAGAGCCCACAATACTACCTCACAGCACATAGTAAGATTAAAATTTATTTCCTAATATGTATACTAATGATTCAATTACCTCAATGTACATATATACATAATCATAACACATACCTTTCCGTCGTATAGGCAGTGAGTCCGACGAATGTGAAGAACTATCGCGCTCAGCAGACGATGATATTTCTTCTGACGAAGATTCCATACTAAGAATTACATGCATATTAAATTAATATACATATAGGATTATAACTTCATATTTAACATAATACTAAGTTAAATTCTATCACAAAAGCTAAATTTCTATAATTAAGGCAATAATAACAAGGAAATAGTCGAAACTGACAAAACAGATGACGTTACTATGGTTACAAGAAATCAAGGCTGTGATTGGACAATTGAGTTTTGACAATGCCATTAACATTCGGTTAGCTATAAGACGGAGCTCCAGAGCAGGAATTAATATTAGTGGCTGGTTAAGACATTTAAACGGACATTTGTGCGTGGTGGGACGCTCGATACACCTAACAGAGCATCAAACGCCTTAACACGATGTTACTTATTTAACACTGATTGGTGAAACTGAGTCTAAGAGTTATATTATTGGTGGGAACCCCACCGTTGTTGAACACTGTTGTTCAAAAAGAATGCAATGTAAAGGTATATTTCATATTGAGTCGTTTGGACAATTCAAGGGGATTACGAAAAATTCTTTTAAACGAGGAATTCGTTATATTGAGGTACGTTATATTAAGGTTGCACTGTATAGCAATACCTACTATTGTATTAGAATTTTAATTCACCGAATTTATTACTACATATATAAATCTTTTATAAGTCTATTAGTGATTTAGTCTCTCAATAAATCGTGATTCTTAGAATCTTGATATTAAATGGACATACATATGTTATAGTTATAATAATTCTTATATATTAGTATATCAGTCTCACCCAGTATCTTTAAAGTCTTCATCAGTTTCATCATCATCCTCCGAGGGTACGTCCAGTGAGTTCAGTTTCCTCGGCTTTCTTCTCTGTTTCTTCTTAGCTTTCTTGTTGTCCACCGGTTTGCCCTGGAATATTTTTTTTTTTATATATTTAGCTTGCATATAAAATATTATAAAATATATCTATGACTAATTTGAAAACCCTTAGTACTAGTAATATTAAGGAACTATACAAAAGTTGGGAAATCGTCAAAAGTTATATACAGGGTGGTTCAACTATAGAATATAAGATCGGTAGCGTAAAAAATAAAAAAAATATATAATTTAAATGAACTATATAACAATACTTAAAACAAAATTAAATTGCTCAGTGAGTATTGATTCATTTAAATTTTGAGCTACTTGTGAAGGTGAATCAATAATAAAGCTGTAACTAAAGTAATGACCTAGAAACGCAGTGAAATGCATTAGGTTTATAAAAATTTGTTTTACATTTTAGTACAAGCCATCAAAAATTACAATTTTGATTTTGTTTTCTATAACATAATTTATAATATTATACAATTGATTTCTAATGTTTCTATAGACATAGGACCTTATTATAAAGGATAACTTATTACAACATTCGCATTACACTCGGCCATGGATGGTGGGTAAAGAGAAAATATTCGACGGCGCAGCTAAAGCTAAAAAAATATTTTTCTTCGATAACGGCAACAGAGAGCAACAAAATAAACGATATTCTAATTTACTTGATATTAAATTTAATATATTGATTAAAATGATTACATGAATATAATATTTTCAATGTTTTATGTAATATAAACTGAACAGAATATTCATATAATGAGATTTAAGACTTCGCTATTACTATGTGTTATTTTATTTCCGTTACTTTGCAGTAACCGTGATCACGGGCAGAATATTGATAGCTATTTTACATGAACGGTGTATGGTTGAATATAGATTTTTACAGTATTTAGTATATATGAATATATTTATATGAAACTTATATTTTCGGATATACTATTCGGTTTATTTTTCTGAAAAAAAATAACATACTCTCGACGTACATTTCGTCTGCCCGTGATCACGGTTGCTGAAAAGCAGCCTACACTTCGGGAGTACGTAGTTTTTTTTACAAAAAATAAACCGCGTAGTATATCCCAAAAATATTAGTTTCTTTTTAATGATTAAAACTCCCGATTATCGTAGATCTCAATATATGAATATATTTTATATGTTGTTTTATATTTACCTGTTCAATAAGTTCTCTTTCAGCCTTCATTTTTTCTTCCTCAGCAGCCTCTATAATGGTAGAGATATCCTTCCCTCGACCTTGATTGCCTGCGCTAGTAGTCGGCTCTACGTATTCTTCCTGAAATATATATTAAAATGTTCTTAAAACTAATAAAAAATAAGTAATAAGTTGATGGTTATAGTAGCTTATTCGTTGGAAAATTATATCAATAGAACAAAGAAATAAAGTGAAATGTAAGGAATCATTATGTATTACAAAAAACATTTTTTCTGTTTGTTTGTTCGGCTAATCTCTGAAATAGCTGGAACGAATTTGACGGGACTTTGATTGATTTGTTTGTTTGAGCGTTGTAATAAAAAGTAATATGATACTTTATATCCCGATTCTGAAATTAAGTGTTAGGTAGCACTTAAAAGGGTAGCATTATATCTTTTTTATTTTTAAGCAGGAGTATTGGGTATCACCTACTTTTGAATACCTACTTAGGAATGCCTAATTCACATATAATGAGATCTCAGATTTTCGCGATTTTTATTCATTTAAATGAGACTATTATTTTTCGGATTACACAACGCGACTTTATTCTTGAGTGTCGACATTCACATCTCTGAAAAGTTGCTAAAAAGTATCCGAAACGTCGGGAGTATTTAGTTTTTGACAAAAATAAAGTCTCGTATAATCCGAAAAATGATAGTTTCATTTAAATATTCATATATATATCACCTTAATCGCGGAACTGATGAGTCTATCGTATTCTTGTGCTCTATACGAGACGGGTAACTGACGTCGAGCTCGCAAGCGATACACAGCGCCCGGAGACGACCAGCCGCTACTACCAGACACGTCCGAACCTGATCCTGGAATAATTAATACTGAGTTTAATGTTGGATACATCGGCAGACCCTGGCTGATGCTGGGAAATTGCCAGGAAGAAGAAGAAGTCCACTATCGATAGGCTATCGATATTTTTTGGGTTTTAAATTGCAAATTTTCGCTACTATCGATAGTATTGAAGGTATTAACACTTTCAATTGTATTGTTTTAGAAGTGCGATCGATAATATACATAGTATTACCATGTGACGATACTATCGATAGCACTATCGATATTCTGACTAGTTTTCGAGGTCAACTATCGATAGCCAAACTATCGATGGTTCTGCAACACTAACTGAGTTAATATTACACACGGTACTCATAGCACACAAAGAATTAGTGCTGCCGTACTGATAGTAGTTACATCAGACAGATCAATGTTGCCATATTGAATGATTAAAATTATAGAAATGGCTTTTTGGTTATTTCAAATAACTATGGATGTAATTATATGTGAGTGAAAAAAATTGTATAAAAATTTCATGTTAAATCGAGAGTTTTGGTTACAACATGTAGAATGTGTCATACTGATATACAGAGACAAAACCTCTAAGCATTCAATGGATTGAACGTACGGGTGCCGGGTCCATCGTTGTAGTAAGAGGAGCTTCAACAGTTACTGGGACTTGCGACCCAGGTGTAGGTTTAAGGAGTCCCTATCTAACGCGCGTTATACTAAATTAAAATTAATCCCTTCAAATATTATAAATGCAAAAGTAACTCTGTCTGTCTGTTACGCTTTCACGCCTAAACCACTGAACTCATTTTAATGAAATTTGGTACAGGCAGAGTTGCCCTTGAGAAAGAACATAGGATAGTTTTTATCCCCGACTTTTGAAAGGTTCTCTTGGAAATGCGACATAACCGAACTGCACGCGGGTGAAGCTGCGGGCGGAAAGCTAGTATTAAAATATAGTTATTAACCAGTATTTGAGTCCGAATGTTCTTCGTGTTCGTCCTCTCTATCCGAAGTCTTCTCTAAGTCACTAGATTGTTCCGTTTCTTCCAACTTCTTCCTCGCTCTCTCTTCTTCTACAGCGGCCAGCAATTCATCGTATTTCACGAGCTCTTTTTCCAATTCCGTTATCAACATGATCTGGAATTTACAAACAAATCTATGTAATTTAAGTTCAAAAGTTATGATTTTTGTGATAGCAACACTATGAATTCTGCAATTTTAGTAATTTTTTTCTTTAAACTAAAAAAAAATAATATAAGATATATAAGTTTTGTGAGACTACAGGATAAAATATTTATTGATAACCGCAGCTTTTATTTGTTTAGAGCGATCTTAATGCACCATTAGCACTAAATATATATGAATCACATCTAGCAAGAGATACACTGATCTTTTTTAGTATTTTCATATATAACTTAATAGCAACTTGTCAGTGGTGGCCTAGTGGTTAAGAGGTCCGCCTCTCATGCACGAGAGCGCGGGTTCGATCCTGACCCGGGCAAGTACCAATGTGATTTTTCCTAGTCATATGTACTTTCTAAGAATATTTAGACATCACTGATTAATGCTGATTCCCAAAAGAGGGTTGATGTCACACAGGCGGCCGGTCGTAAAAAAAAACAATTAGCCAAAAGTATTCACAACATGTAAGGCAGACCCTGGCTATAACCGGGAAAGTGCCAGGTAGAAGAAGAAGAACTTAGGTATTTTCTTATATAACTTAATTCATATCATACATGGCTACACTCCGGACAGAACCAGTCACCCTCCGGAACTAATAGTAACACCGGCTTGAGGCAGCTCGCGTGGTAGCCAGCGTCACATTTATCACACAACAGGATCCACTCCGGCTGCTCGCCACTGCCGCAGCGGGCGCACGAACCCTCCGACGAATCTGAAGATAACACGGTTATCTATTGACGGATATAACATTGACATAATACTATTTATCTTATATATTAGGAATACAACATTTAAATAATATACTTATCTTATATATTAGGAATATAACATTGAAATAATATATGTCGGCGCAGTTACCATTTTAATAATCAATAATTGAGGGTAGATAAATTGTGAGGTGTCGCTCACGTGACAACCTGTGCAAGTGAAGTCATAACAATTTCTGTTAGTCATTATAAATAGAGGCGAGTTACTGATTACAGATGGTCGTGCTGGAGCCGTCGCGGGGATCGAACCTCTTGGAAGTGAGACATCATCCAACCGGCTGTGAGGGCTGTGAGGTTACCTTCGATAGCCTCAAGGGCTGACGACATTCGAGAACAAACCGCACTGGTGACGTCAGTTATGCTGACGTCACTCATTTTAAAAACCACGTTTTGGCACCTTCTCCGACATCAGAAGTGGGATCGTTCACTTCTGCTCGTCCATCTGATAATAATGGAATTTTTCTTCAATGTTTCAGAGCCCCTGTGGACCACGGACAAAAAGTCCTAGACCACAGCATCGACCTACCTCAATCCCTTAGAGCCTCTGTGGACCACGGCGTACAAGACCGCCCAGACCACAGCAACATCCTAAAAATTAAAATCCTTTGTGGAACCATCAGAAGTCAAGTGTACACCACAGATCTGGAGTGTTACCTCTGAGCTAATCACGTGTTACCCTCAAGCTAACCTCGTGTCCATGATGTATCCATAAGAGAACCATGAGATTCTGTAGGGATGCCTTGTGAAGCCGTGAGGAGACATGTATGCACCAAAGAGTGATACCTCTGAGCTAATTACGTGCTATCCTTGGGCTAACCACAGGTCCTTGATGTATCCGTAAGAGAACCATGAGATAACGAGGGGACGCCTTGTGGAACCGTGAGGAGACATGTATACACCGTAGATCTGGAGAGTGTTACATCTTTGAACTAATCATGTGCTACCCTTGAGCTAGCTCATAACTATCAGTTTTTGTTTTTATTTCATTCTCAGGTGACCAGGGAATCTTAACCAAGAATGCAGGATGGTGCGGAGCGCGCACCAACTGTCAGAATGGCCGTGTCGGCGCAGTTACCATTTTAATAATCAATAATTGAGGGTAGATAAATTGTGAGGTGTCGCTCACGTGACAACCTGTGCAAGTGAAGTCATAACAATTTCTGTTAGTCATTATAAATAGAGGCGAGTTACTGATTACAGATGGTCGTGCTGGAGCCGTCGCGGGGATCGAACCTCTTGGAAGTGAGACATCATCCAACCGGCTGTGAGGGCTGTGAGGTTACCTTCGATAGCCTCAAGGGCTGACGACATTCGAGAACAAACCGCACTGGTGACGTCAGTTATGCTGACGTCACTCATTTTAAAAACCACGTTTTGGCACCTTCTCCGACATATACTTATCATATATATTAGGAATACAACTATATGAAATTTCCAGTATATCAATGATAAACCATCACTTACAACAATAACATATGGTTATAGAAAACTGGAGACTGCGTCTGTAGTTTGACTGCTAAACTCGTGATAAATAAGTATACTATAAGTGAAAGAGACCCGTACTCTACTACTATACTGTACCATTCTACTAATATTATAATTGCGAAAGTTTGTGAGGGTGTGTGTATGTTTGTTACTTGTTCACGCTCAAACGGCTGAAACGATTTTGATAGAATTTTGTATACAGGAAGCTGACGTCCAGGAATAACACATAGGCTAATTTACATCCCGGTAATAAGCGGGTAACACCGCGGGGCGCAGCTAGTATATGTATTTAACGTAATTTTCATTTTGATAGAATCTGAAGTTAAATAATACATGACCAAAAACTTATAATTAATATCAATAAGTATGAAAATCAACAAAGTAATTTCTCAATACCTTAATTTATATTACTATTCTTTTACTACGAGTTACTATTTTAAACGCATTGCTTCTTCACATCTGTACTATTAACAAAAAATTTCATCTTCATACTACATATTATAAAAATATTCTTTAGTCTTTCATTCATAAATTATTGCACATGATAGTATCAAACCGAAAATGGCTATGTATTATAACTAATTAATTTATAGTAAGGATACTAAACCGTTTATTATATTAATAGTATTGTATATATTTGTAAACATACTTTCTTGTAGTGTCCTGGCTCGTTTGATAGGCTCTGATGGTTCTCCGTCTTCTAGATCCGATTCCGGAGAGAATTCGTGATCAGATTTCGAGAAATCCACTGGAAAAATATTAAGACTATAGTTACTTAGACATTCGGTTAACTTGAATATTATTAAGTTATTAATGAGATAAAATTAATCTTGTAGAGTACTACTCAATACTCATGTCAAAACTAATTCCAGTTTCGGAGATTGTAAGAAACAAGAATATATGTATATATAATCATTTTATGACGGTAGGTACCTTTTTTATATAAAAACAAACTTGTATGTGTATATCTTATCTTCTTCTACCTGGCAACTTTCCAGCTTTAGCCAGGGTCTGCCTTACATGTTGTGAATAGTTTTGGCTAATTGTTTTTACGACCCTGCCTGACATCAACCCTCTTTGGGAATGCATTAATCAGTGGTGTCTAAATACTCTTAGAAAGTACATATCGAACCCGCGCCCTCATGCATGAGAGGCGAACCGTTTAACCACTAGGCCACCACTGACTTTTTAAAAATATTCTACAATATACAGGGTGACTGGTGAATTACTATCGATACTTGAGGACGTGATATTTGACGATCATATATGACAAAATAAAAATTAATATAACATAAATATTAATAAACTTCTAAGTAAAGTTAACCAAAAGTTATGTAATTAATTACGCATCGTGTGAACACCCTACAGATTAGGTATACACACACACTCACACAGACGCGGCGGCGGCGTAGTGTTGTATCAGCACGCCGCCGCATACGTCCACACTTGGAACACTTGGCACGTGTCAACACTTTATTTATTTATACGGAAATTTTGTCAAAAATTAAGTGCCTATTTTTTTTACATAATTCGAATGAGAATCATGTACCGAGTATGCTCCTTAAATATTGATAGTAATTCACCAGTCACCCTGTATATTCTATATTCTACACATACGTGAATTGTGTATATATGTATATCTTATACATATGTATATTATCATCTCTGATGAAGATTAAGAGACCTTGATTATGTATACACAATCATTATATGTATAGATGTATGTATGACCTCTATGAAATCTTATTTATTTTATTTTATTTATTTATGTACCAACAACAAGTTACACAGAAAAAGAATAAGAAAGAAACAAAGTTATACAAAGGAAAGCTTATCTCTATGAGAGATCTCTTCCAGCCACCAATCTTCTATGTTTCCTATTTGAATGTTAATTCCTGAGTTGTACACAGTTGTATTGTGTATACCAGTACATATATGTGTGTGTGTGTGTGTGTGTATGTGTGTGTATGTATGTGTATATCTCACAGTCGGGTTCGTCGTGTTCGAACAGCGGCTCAGAATCTGGCTCGGAGTCTAAGTCAGCGGAGGAGTCTCCCTCGCGCCACTCGTCCTTCACCCGGCGTTGCTCGCGGGCGCGGGATTCAGATTCCGAGCTGTCCCGACTGCTGGCACGCCATTCATCCTCATCCTCCTTCGTCTGATAGAAATACATAGATAAATGAATAAAATCCTAGTTATGAGATGTATACAATCTCCGTCCAACGAAACAAGATCATTTTTATAAACAGTACAACTATCGTAACTTCTGTTATGAAATTGTCATATAGAAATCAAGTATGGGGCCGTTCAAGTATTACGTAAGCACTATTGAGGGGAGGGGTCTTAGCTTTGCTTATTTTGGATGAATTGGGGGAAGGAGAAGTCTAGGTATCGATTACGTCATCTGTAGTTATTAATTTTTAATCGTCGAGTAGATCCATAAAAAAATAGAATTATAATTTGTTTCTGGACTTATATTAAAAAATATATAGTAATTGAAAATGTTTACGTAACCATGGGGGGAGGGGGTAAGAGCTTTGCTTACTTTTGCTGATGGAGGGGTAAATAATTGTAATAAATCTGCTTTCGTAATACTTGAACGGTCCCTTAACAGTGGATTAATTTATTAACTGTGGTTTAATTTATTAACCGTGGAATTATTATTTATATATCCCCCTATTATCTATTATGGTCACTTTGAATCATTCATTTCTTTCTTATTTGTATGCATATGTTTAAGGTTCACGCCAGATGTATGTATGTATGTATGTATGTATGTCAGTAGTACCACTCTCTTGTTGTGTATCATCTTGAGCTCCCTGAGCGCGACCTCCTCCGCGTGCCTCCTCTCCGCCTCCTCCTTGATCTTCATCTGAGCGATGCGACGCGACTGTCGCACGGGCGCGCAGTCGTCGTCGCAAGTTTTGTCTTTGTCTTTACTCTTGAGATTTTTCTTTAATACTTTCTTCGTTGATTTCTTACCTGTTTAATTGACGTGGTAAGATAATGTACATATTCTAATATTATAGATGTGAAAAGTTATGTAATTTTTGTTGATTTTTCACGCAAAATCTTCTGAACGGTTTTTATTAAAATATTGAAGAGATGATTAGACATGATAGTGACATATAGATTATAATTTATTCAAAAATTCCGTTTAGGTCTATTTAATAACATAGAAACTCAATACGAAAGTTGTATTTTGTAAAGTCGCACATCACACAGTATAGATGGCGCTGTCAGTACGAAACTATATCTATTGTATATGTATAAATAATTGATTTTTCTCTGAATTTCAAGCGGATATAATCACATGCATACTCATGTTGTATTAATATACGTCACCTATACTAGACAACGCCTCTTCTTCTGAGTCGCTTGAACTTTTCGCCATATGTTTCGCTTCAACTTTTTTCCTGTAAGTATTATAATATTAAAATTAAAGGATGCAGTCGTTCTGAAACATTGGTTGATTATTGGCATTCAAATAGGAAATATAGAATGAAAAATTAATACACAAACGGGACTTGAACCTACGAATTTCGGCGTATAGAATTTAAGTTGTCTTATTACTATAAATTCTTCTATGTTTCCTATTTGAATGTTAATTCTGGAGTTGTACACAGTTGTATACATACATATTATCACACGCGGGTGTATGAAGATTTATATGTATAGGCCAGTACAGAGTTGTACACAGTTGTACACAGTTGTACACATACATGTTCATACACCCGGGTGTACGTGTGTAGCTCAGTACCTGGTGCTAGTATTTATCTTCTTAGGTTTAATCTTCAGTCTCTTGCCGCTCGTGTTCTGATCGTCTTCCTCACTCTCGCTCTGAGATTCGTTCGTCTTATCGCTACCGTTAGAGTTAACTAGAGTTCGTTTAACAGCTTTACTCTCGTTCTTAATATCACAATCTCTATCATTCTTGTTAGAGTCATTTATATGTTTCTGTACTATCTTTTTGGCTTTGAATTTCCCTTTTTTGGCTTTTATTTTCTTTCTCGGCGTGTCATCGTTTTGTATATTCGTGTTTGTTGTATCGTTTTCTATATTCTCGTTGGATGTGTCGTCTTTATTTGTTTCTTTGGGTTGTACCTCCTTCTCAGGAGTCGGTTCTAGTCGTAACTTCTTCGGAGGCAGGTCATCCTCTTTGACCTCTTTATCTGAACACTCCTTGTCCTGGTCAACGTTATCATCTTGGTCTGAAGACAGACTGCTTTTCCTTTTCTCAATAATACTGACTTTATTGTTCTGACAACTATCAGATTCTGTTGGAGAGTGTAATGGTTCCTCAGTGCCACTCTCCTTATCTTTGCTAGCTAATTGTTTCTTTTTCATTTTACTCTTGACCTTCTTGTTTACTGTGTCATTTTTTTCTCCTTCTGTTGTGCTTTTATCGTTAATACTATTGCTATCAGTGACTGTACTAGAGTTAGATCCGTTCGACTTATCTATATCTCGGATACAATGTTTCTTGCAATCTGATTTAGAGTTCTCAATGACCTCATTCGGTTTCTTCAATGACCGTTTGTTGACCGATTTATTTTTTAACTTGACACATTTACCTATTTTCGCTTTTTTGTTTGCGTTAGATGGATTATAGTTTTCTCCATTACATTCCTCTGTAGGATTATCTTCGTCACTTTTTTCATCACTATGATGCTGTTCTATTTCAGGGTTGCCAGTTTCGTTTTCTTCTCCCCAGCCGTCACCGTAGAAGTACATCACAGGTTCTGAGATTTCTTCACCATATATAATGAAGCTCTCGCACTCAGCCCCGTTTCCTTCTCCAGTGACAACCATGACGGGTTCCTCAATAGCTTCTCCAATTTCTTCATCCTTGGCTACTGTTTCTGATTCAGACTTATCATTATTTCCTTCTCCATCATCTACTTTAAGTTCTTCTCCATAATAATTTTCTTTTCCATCTACTTTATGTTCATCTACCTCAACACTAGTTTGACTGTCTTTTACATTGTCCTTATTTTCTACGTTTTCTACATTAACATTATCTTTAATTTCATCAGATTCATCTTTCTTTTCATTTTTGTTATCTTTTTGATCATCACTGTCATGTTCTGATTCAGATTCAGGACTTAGGAACTCTTCTTCATTGTCTTCTTCGACAACTGATGGTTTTTCAGGCTGAAAATGATACATTTTTTAACATTATGACTTTCTGACTCAATATAAACATTTTTTTATATATAATAACCAAACCTCAGCCTGTGTTTGAGTAGGAGCTTCACCATTCGAATCGACAATGGTATTAGATTCTGCCGATGCAGTCACTTCTTCTCCACCCTTCAATTGAGATATAATCTTTACCAGCTCATCTCGATTACTACAATAAAATACAGTCATGAAAACAATAAACAATTGGTTTATAATATACCTATATATATTAAAACAATATTGGGTTTATACTGAAATTTAATTATAAATAGAAAAAAAATACAATTAAGTAAAAATAGAGTAAATGGCAAAGCAACTCAAATGTGATACACCTGTCATCACAGGCTTGAATATTCCTTGGCAAAATAATTTTCATTTTAAATTTCCTAATCAAATTATAATATATTCATGGTTACAATCATATTTATCAGTAAACAACATTCCAAGTACATTGATAAATAATAATCCTAATTTTAATACAATTAGTCAGCAGTTTCAGGAATTTGATGTTATAAATATGTAAAACATAGTGATAACAATGTATGAAACATACAACAACTATTTGTATCAAAATAAAATTACCAATATCTTATGTTGCTATAAAAACACAAAAACTAGTTATATATATCTTTATGAAGTCTATTATTACATATATTATATAATATTTAATAATTTTAATTAAAATTAAACAGTCTAAATATATTAGAACATTTTGTTTTTAAATATTCTTCCTTTATTTTGGTGAGTAGTAGAAAATTATATGATGATTTGAGTCTATCATAGTAATTCTTCTTCTACTTGGCAATTTCCCAGCTTTGGCCAGGGTCTGCCTTAAATGTTGTGAATAGTTTTGGCTAATTGTTTTTACTACCGGCCGCCTGCCTGACATCAATCCTCTTTGGGAACACATAAATCAGTGATGTCTAAATACTATTAGAAAGTACATATGACTCGGAAAAATCGCATTGGTAATTGCTCGGGCCAGGATCGAACCCGCGCCCTCGGGCACGAGAGGCGGGCCCTCTAACCATTAGGCCACCACTGACAACTCTCTATAACGCCATAAAATGCACAGTCCCTTCAGTGTTGTTATATAGAGTTTATACTGTATATCAGAACAGTTTGTTATTAAATATTCTTCCTTTACTTAGGAGATCAGTAGCATATTATATGATTTGAGTAAATTATAATCATTCCAACCATACATTTATATAATTCTACCGAGTACTACCTCGCAACCATTTGCCATGTTTCTTCATCCTGATCTTCCTTATACAGACACAAGTTTGCCTCGTGGTCTACTTGCAGCCAGTAAACACAACCATTCCTATCTCTACCGATAGGATCCAATCTCAGCTCCTTACATGATATTGCATTGACGGCATTTTTGAACTTTGGATGGCAAGTAAACTGATATTCTAGAAGAAGCTGAAAATATTATATTAAATTAATAAAAAATAAGCAAATACTTGATTAATGATTTGCTTTATAATATTTTTAAAATATATAAAAGTACATTTAAGATATATATTTAAATGTAACTCAGTTTTTTAGAGTGTTTATATCAGACACTTTCATCTCATCTGCCTGTGATTACAGTTGATGTTAAGGAACCAAAATATTGATATTGTATAGATAGAACATAATTTAAAAGCGTAAATTCCGAAAAACTCAGTTTCATTTAAATGTACACTAAAATTTTAAAATTTATTATATTTTTAAACTTAGAAGTAACATATTAAGTGAAACTGAATATTTTAAACTTTTGTTTAATTCTGTACCTTGTAAAAAAACACACTCTATTTAAAATTACAATATCATCATTTAAATATTGTTTAAACAAAAGTCTACTATTAAAATAGTATTGAGACTTAACAAACAAATCCTTATTAGAATAAGTTATGAATAAATCAGTGATTAAGCAGTTTCAATGACTCAGAAGCGAATTAACGTACTTACTTTCAATATTCGTAATTTAACTTGTGTGCTAGCTTTCTTGTAAGAAAACCTTTCTAACTCCCATGCCTCTTGATGGTAAGATTGCTGATGACAGAACTTTATAAGAGATCTCTCCCACCGATTTGTCTGTACGGATTTTAGAGCGCGTCGTAACAATCTCAAGTGTAAGTCCTTCAACGGATCCGAAACTGAAAGAACAAACAACATGTTTCACGACATTGTGTACAGTTTCGATGACAAATTAACACTGCGAACGCACCTTCCTGTGTGTTTTCTATCGATTCCTGCAATTTGGCTATAGTGGGCACTTCTAAACTATACAGTTTACCAAAAACTTTTAAGAACGAGTAAATAACGGCGAAATTAGGATCATTCGTACACGAAATTTCTCCATCAGACGCCATCGTCGTCAATTTTTAAGCTTTTTTACTTAACATCGCTATATGATTCTCACTACCGGTACTTAATAATGTCACTTACACCTATTAGATTATTACAAAACATGTACATGTTTCACGAAAATATCATTATTCTACAATCACTGTAAGCTTCTTTTCCTATTTTCATCTAAAATAATAAAATAAAACTCAATGACAGCCATCGCCACATAGACAAATGTTTTTTTTTCAAAGCAAGAATGAAATATAGATAGTACACAAATTTTAATAGTTAGTTGTCTATTGATAGAAAATCCTGAAGGTTAAAAAGATAATGAAAATAATGGCACCTTTTGGTATTTTTCATATTAGATGTAGTATTTATTTGTTTTAGATTTCAGATGATTGTTTTAACCTTGTATTTGTAAATATTTCAATATTTATTGTCAATTATCAATTGGATACTAATTCCTAATGTAAATACAATCTGCTGTATCCTGTAATTGACATATTATATGTCAGATTTGATTTTGAAGTAAAGCAAGAAAAGTTCACTTCAGGAGTGTGTATGTGTGCACTATAATTTAGTTTATTTTATACTTTGTGTGACTGCTTTATTTCTTATTGTTATAATTTTACCTTGGTACCAACCATCATGTCTTCAGTATGTTGTGGAACTAAAAAACAGAAGCTGAATAATTCGTACAGTAATCATGTTGAACGTCCTCTAAATGGATATCAAGAGCCTGTGGCAATACCTGATATGTGCTACTTTTGTTTCGATGTCTTATATTGTCAGCTGCACAGTATGGACCCACCACATACGCCAAATTTCACCAACGATGCATAGTAAGTTGTTTAAATATATTGCATATACGTTTATACGTTTTTCTATACATTACAAAAAAAAAATATGGGTCGATTATAATGTTATTCACACAAATTGACACTAGAAAAAAGTTTGTTGTATAACAAAAGAATTCCTTTGCCATAAATGTTAAATTACCCATCTTTTTTTTTATTGATGTTCTTTGTAATAAAAAAAATGTTATTGATGTTGTTCTTTGTGTTATTTTCGTAATGTTTAATAATTATATACAATTTGTAAATTGTATGAGTTGATCACTTGTATTGATCTTAATACATCCTCTGTTCAAATCTTAAAATAACTGTTCCCAAAATAAACTTTACAACAGTTTTATCCACAGTTTATATCTCAAGAACTAAGGTTCTTTGTTCTCATTAAAATTTTCTAGTTATTATTGTTTGATATTTAAACAATAAATCATTAAAATACAATTAAGTTATATTTCATTGTATATTTTTGTTTACAGTCCCCTATTTGTAACATGGAAAATTGGAAAGGAGCATCGCTTAAGAGGGTGTATTGGGACTTTTAATGCCATGCATCTACACTCAGGTATTAAAGACTCACTGATATCAACATGGTTTATATTTATATACTTATTATTTTTTTATATATAAACAATATCTTATTGTATACAGGGTGACTGGTGAATTACTGTCAATATTTAAGGAGAATACTCGGTACATGATTCTCATTCGAATTATGTAAAAAAAATAGGCACTTAATTTTTGACAAAATTTCCGTATAAATAAATAAAGTGTTGACACATTCCAAGTGTTCCAAGTGTGGACGCGTGCGGCGGCGTGCTGATACAACACGACGCCGCCGCACGCGTATGTGTGTGTGTGTGTATACCTAATCTGTAGGGTGTTCACACGATGCGTAATTAATTACATAACTTTTGGTTAACTTTACTTAGAAGTTTAATAATATTTATGTTATACTAGTTTTTGCCCGCGACTTCGTCCGCGTTAGTTTGGTCAAGAGGTATAAGTATATATATGTATATGTAGGTATGTAGCTGACCAGGCGAACTCTATTCCGTCTTACAGGCCATAAATAATCAGGTTTTTCCTGTTTCAATCAAACAGAATGATTGACATATTAGTTAGTTGTCAAATCTAATGTCAAAAAAACGTTTGTATGGGAAATAGAAAAGGGCTGTTTTTAGGGTTTTCCCGGCAATTATTCCAATTTTTCTCACCTTTTAAACCTTCCCTGGACTTCCAGGAGTATTTCAAGACTAAAATTAGCCAAATCGGTTCAGCCGTTCTCGAGTTTTAGCGAGACTAAGGAACAGCAATCCATTTTTATATATATAGAAGATAGAAGATTCATTTTTATTATGTCATATATGATCGTCAAATATCACATCCTCAAGTATCGATAGTAATTCACCAGTCACCCTGTGTATATAATTTTAATCTTGTTAATAATAGTGACATAAGTATTTACCTATTAAAACTTAATGAAACACTAAAAATGACTGAACAATAATACCATTATGGTATTAAAGAAAATAAGATTAGAATTGTTTACAAAGGTAATTACTGGACTAAAGATTTAAATAAATATTTTTATTCATATGAATGTAAGTTGAGATGAATCATTTTTATATTTAGAATGTAAAGACTACACTACTTGAATCATTTCTTCTGAGTATTTTAATAATAAAAAAGCAAAAATCCACTACATTTGGTCACAGTGCACAGTCTTCATACTGCTTTGTTTCAAATTTTTATTGAAATAACATATGACAATACACCAAGGACTTATCACCACATGCCATAAATTTTGCATCTAAGAAAGACGAAACCTCTTGGCATGCAATGAATTCATGGTGCGGTTGCCGGCTCCATTGTTACAGGGAGAGGAGCTTCAACAATGCTTGGGACTTGCGACTATGGTGTAGGTTTAAGGGGCCTTATGTAACGCGCGTTAAATGTTCACCTCCAATGTCCAAGCTCCTCTCTCTACCAAACCAAACCTTCCCATATTATTAAACATAAATTTGTGTCTGTGTACATTTCTGTTTATTTAATTAGTGAAAAACTACCTCACAACTATTGGATAAAGTTCTATGTAGTGCTGGAACACAGACTACTTTGTATCCCAAGAATTCCGAAAATGATGGCAAAGCTCGGGTAAAAACTAATATTAATTGCCTATGGCAAAACAACATCCACATATCATTCCATAATATTGGCATCACTGCAATTTTAATCCATTTACTCCAAACAAAACATTTATACTACAAAAAGAGATGTATATTTTCAGGTCTCCGAGAATATGCAATCACAAGTGCTTTGAAAGATTCTCGTTTTGCTCCGATTACTCGCGAGGAAGTTCCACGTCTAACGGTTTCGGTGTCCATTCTTCAACATTTCGAGGAAGCCGAGCATTACCTGGACTGGAAGTTGGGCAAACATGGCATTAGAATTGAGTTTATCAGCGAAAGGGGATCCAAACGAACTGCAACCTACTTACCTCAAGTTGCTACCGAGCAAGGTCTTGTAAATCTTTACTTGGCTTAACTATCATTGTTTGGTTAAAACCGGTTTAAACTGGATATAATATAATACACACACACACACACTTTTGTATTTAACACCATTTCCTTTGCTTTTTTTTTCCTTTTCTTTTTATCCTTAATTGTATGCACGTGTGTAACTCGTGGCACGTGGCCTTATAGCTATATTGTTACTATTTTAACATTACAGTAACGCTGTTGGATTACCAATGAACGGAAATAAATAAATAAATGCTGTCTGGTTATAGCCGGATATAATTTAGTTATGTAATTTTAATATTAGAGTTAAAAAACAATACTGAAATAATTTCCAGGTTGGGACCAAATCCAAACTATCGACTCGCTTCTCCGGAAGGGTGGCTATAAGGCAGCTATTACTAGCGAGATGCGACGAAGTATTAAGCTAACTAAGTATCAATCGGAGGAGGTTTCCGCTTCGTACAGCGATTATATCGGGCAGCGCTGCTAGCGCCCGCCCGGAGCCCTAGGGGGCCGCGTTTCCCCCTGGGGCTATCGACTGGGGCTCCCTCGCTGCCCCAGGCCGGGCTCTATATACCGGAGTGCAAGTGAACGTGTTAATAAAATAGTCTCTAAGTATAATAGTGTCAGTTACAAGTGGCATACATATAGTGCAACGGGTCAAAGTTATGCTCAAAGTGAGGAGAAGTGTTTCATGGATATGGTTTAAGGTATGCTCGATCACTGCCAACAACATTCCTGATGTAATGGTGACATCTTTGAAACACTGGTAACGAGGGTATTCTATTATATTATGTTTGAAAACCGCTTGATTTAGATTAGTATTGAAAAATAAACCGTCAATTGCATTGAGAATATATACATATATAAATCATTTTTTTGTTTTGTACACGTAACTAAATATTTTGTTTTATAATTTAGCATTCATAATTATCATGCGTATATTATATGTATTGTATAATGTAAAAATATCAAGTTTATACATCGAAATGTGTTAAAGTGCTTATGTTAACCGAAATACGTTATTCATCTGCAATATTTGTTAAATACACATGCTGTGTTTAGATTTTACCGCCAAATATTTCAAACTAAACTTATGTATACAGAGTTGAACATCTTTTGTAGGTGATGAGTTGTTTAGAGGCCTTTCATAAAGTACGTCATACGAATTTTAGAACTTTTGAAATTTGAACCCTTTCCCCTCTTGCCACTTTTTGCCGGATATGACGTAACACGTTAAAATTTATGTACGTGTTTAAAAATTATCGACAAAAGCAGCCTTTCTCATTCATTTACTTATTTTTATTAAATAATAATCTAATAAAATCAACAAAGACCGACATTTCATAAAATCAAAAAACAAACCACTGATTAGAAAATAAATGATTAAGTATTTCAATTAAAAATAAAACAATTGTGTTCATCAATTTATTAAATTTTTAATTAGCCTCCAAAAATTTAGTTCTAGTATTTTGTTATCCCCCCTCCATGTCCCGTATCACATGACGTCACATTTCAGTGATATTCCCCCATTAAAGTATGACGTAATTTATGGATGACCAATTATAGCAAAACAACGCTACTAACTTAACTCGAAAGTCGAAAGCTTCGCGAATATTCGTATGGAGTGCACGTATTCATGTTTAATATCTACATTTAATGTATTCTTATAATCGGTGTGTTCACTTAGATCATAATTTTGACTCACTCAACTGTTGTAACAATGGTATAATAATCAGTTGATAAACGCCGAATTATTAAAACAATAAGAGCTGTATGTTTAATTTGTCCAAAATATGTCTGGAAGATGAATTTTATAATGAAAATGGATGTGAAATTATTGTGATACATATAAATATGTCGCCATTTGGAAGATTCCCATTTACTAGAGAAAGTCTAACATTTAAAGGCATTTCATTTCAATAATTTGTATATTACATTAATTTTACACTAATCTGTAAACTATTGACAAATAAATAGAAACACATAGTACATATAATAAAAGAAAGATTAAAAATAAAAAAGTATTATCATTTTTCTCAAGTAAATGGGAAACAGAAATCTCTTAGAAATATATTCGAGAAGACAATCCTTATAAAAACCGTAATAAATATCTCAATAGTTAGAATATTTAAAAAAGGTCGTGGTTTTTATTTTAAGGTATATACGAAATTTACATTTTACGATATACGACGGTGAAACACGCATTATATTGTGTACTTAGGTTGGAATTAACGTAACGAGGGTCACCAGTTACTACATACAGTTTGCATTTTTAAAACAACAAACAACATCTAGAAATTTAAAATCATTGAAATTTTATATTCAGGTTTTCACTCTTACAAAATTCCCTCAATTTGTCGTGTAAACTTTGTAAAAGGTTTTGTTTCCATTGACAATAAAAATTAAACTAACAAATGTATTGCCCCGTCAAATTAAATATATTACAACTTTTCATTTATAATAGTTTGGTAGGTTTTTTCACTTTTCATTTATTATACCTGATGCTCATATTCGTAGACAAAAAAAAATGCTTTTATAAATTAAGATCCCTTTTGTCGGTGTGTCCTTAAAATGTATTTAAATTATAATAACGCAATTGACAAAGATGTCAAAAACTATCGAGTGTTTCTTGGAAGCAAAATAAATTGAACTATATGGTGACCCCCATTACATTGCTTATTAAATGCGTATAACAAAAATATAAAACTTATAAAAAAAATATAACATGGCAGAAAATGTAAAAAAAATGTAATTAAGATAATTTTTTTGTAGATTTTAAGTGGCAGTCTATTTTTTTTTTAACAGACTTCGTGAAAGTCTCCGATCGGAAGCTATTTGTGTGACAAGAAAATAAATTTCTGCCAAAAGTTAAGTTGCTATAATTGAATGCTAGACCTCGAAACTAAATATACTTAACAAATATACTAGATACTAACACTGGCTAATAAAGAATCATAATAATTTAAGATGGGAGAAATTAGTAAAACAATAGTTTAAGCTAGAGTAGTGTAACATTTGAATTATATCATATGGTACTAATTTTAAGGTTCAAAACGTCCGGTGCAATCAGAATCACTATGTAGATGACGCCAACATTGTGATATTAAGAAATAAACCAATAGGAGACACGGAGTCCATGAATCGTGGGATGCTATTGGTTAATATTGCGATTGTAGTGATACGTAATTGTTGGTTTTTGTTTTCAGAATATTTCGATCAGCAAAAACTAGATTTATCTGGGCAACATAACTGAAATAAGTTCTATATTATAAATTATGTGAAATTTTATTTGTAATAAATTAATATTAACAAATTCTGTTAAAAATTCAAATCACAAAAAGGATTAACAAATAACATTTTTTTGTTGACATAAGTGATTGTAAAAACAATGACGTTGATTTGAAATTCGAATATAAACGTTTTTTTTTGGAAATGTTTTTACGGCTCTGGATACTAGTCCTTTTGAGTCTAATAGAAACTTTAGTATATTAGTGAGATCATAGTATTTTTGTTTTGTATTACATACTTACAGACGTAAATCTAGTTTTTGTGATTGAATTTCTGCATTGCGTTTACAATACGTTATTCGTCAGCCTATCAGCTAGTGATAAGTGTTGCATGTGTTCAAACTTAGTAATGTACTTCCTCTGGTGAGTTGTGTGCATTAGTTTGTTGTCGGTTTTTGTAATTTATAAAGATTAATTATAAACTTATAGGTTATCACTGAGTTTCATTCAATACCTGACATTTCCTTAATAGTTGTAACGGAAACAATAATAATGCAAATATTCACTCAAAAGATGACTATTATTATTTTAAAAATATTTTGTAGTAACCTTATCTGCCATTAATTTTGAATAGTTAAATAAAATTATGTGCAATATTAAGGTAAAAAGGCATCCTCATCAGCCTATCAGAGCCCACTGCTGAGAAAGCCTCTTCTCACATAGAGAAGGTTTGAGCATTAATCATCCCACTTGCTCAAAATGGATTGGTGATTTCAAACTGATAATTATGAAATTATAAGTCCAGGTTTCCTCACGATGTTTTCCTTCACCGTCTGTCAGTTGTGTCTAAATACTCTCAGAAAGTACATGTGACCCTGAAAAATCATTTTAGTACTTAAAAGGTATATATAAAACAAATGACAATAACTCAACTACTTTAATAAATATTTACAATATATATCAACAACATTTCAGTTATATAAATCTTCATCTAATTTCTTTTCGATTGCTCTCAATTTCCTTTTCAGAGACAAGTTGTTTTTCATTTCATAGTATGTGACTGTAGCAGAGGCTGCTAGTTGAAGAACGGCAAGGTATGCTAGAGGTCCCGTTAATGACTTTGTAGTATGTTTCCTTAAGAAATTAAACATTACTTTTGGACCGTCTGTTAATGGTGGGATTCTATATGTCGAGTATCTGTTAGCAAACTGTAATTAATAAAATTAGTATTAAAGCCTAAAATGTAGGAAAAGCATATACAGTAATACCCCGCTTTACGCGAGGGATATGTTCTGAGAAAAATAACATTAACTGAATTTTTCGTATAGTATAGGTTTATGATTAACAGTCAAAATTTAATACAAAAAAAAATATAAATCATTTTAAACTAAGAACACTGTAGAGAACTCTCATTTTTTTTTTTAAAAATCTATTGTCTTTTGGGTAACATTTTGTTTATGTTCTTGTAAAATATGTTTAAACACCCAACACTGTTTTTAATAGTTTAACACACGGTTAAGACATGGTCATCATTATTATCTATACTCTACAATATGTCCAACCTGAACAAGTTTTTGAAATTGTTTTGTTTGTTAGTGAAACCGCACATAAGTCTCGGTAAGCAGGGTATTACTGTATATAATATATAATAAGTAATTTACCATTAGTGCAGATGTAGGAGCTAATACCGTTGGATAGAATATACCAAATGTTAGTTGTATGGCTGCTGACTTTAGCTCGTAACAAATGGGACAATTTCTTCTTTCACTTAATAATATATCCGTTGTTACCACCTACAAATGTGTAGCTAAATAAATGCTTTTTATAAATACATATTTTCACCAATTGATAACAACTTGCAAGTTAATTAAATTATATTGATATATTTGAGATCTATCATGAATTCTCACTTAAATAAGAGAATAACATAAAAAGTTGTAAAATTTTAGAAGAATAAGATCATCTTGTCTGACTGTGATCACAATTGCTGCCAAGTACAAAACATCGGGAGTACATAGTTTTTTATAAATAATAAAATACACAAAGTAATCCTTAAATATTAGTTTCATTTAAAAGAATAAGATTTTCAAATGTTTAACTTACATATTTATGGAACACAATGGTAAGAATTCCAGGCATCACCACAATAGGTATGGCAGATGAAAAGAACGCATAATCTCCTAACTTGAATTTCCATCTATAGTGTCTGTTTATCACAATACCGGTTATAGAACTGACTGTTCCTAGAGCTATCGCACCAAACCTCAAAGCCCAGCTAAAAAGAATTATGTAAATATAACCTAAATTTTACCACCAAATCGAAAGATTAAATTGAACGTACGTGTCGGATGTGTTTTTCCATTTAGTAACTATATCCCACATATAAGTGGCAGCCTCCGCTTCATCTATTTGTACAGCATCTTTAGGTAATTTACCACTTTTTACGAAAGCCATGATAGATATATGAGATGTTTACATGAATAGATTTTGCTAAATCAATTAGATGGCTTTCAAATTAACTTTATTTTATGATTAATATTATATAGATTTGTCAATTTCATTGAAAAATAACTGTATAATATATTTTAACCAAACTCTATTTTCCTATTGCATTTGAACTATGATTTTTGAAGTTACTGAAATAGTGTTGCTTCCTTTTTCCCTACATAAAAAAATATAATAGTTTATAAAAATGGTATATAGATAGTTTGAATAACATATACTTTTATCAGTAATATTATTTATTTACATTTCTGCACACTTCTACTCACAATATATTATACAGCTTATTATACAGATTTGTGTTTATAACTGTTTTCTGTAAGATACACTTGTCAGTTGTCACACTTATGTCTCTTATCAATAAAATTTGTTATAAAATAAATATATTTGTTTTCTAATGTTTAAGTCGCGACAGTATGGATTATGGGACTGTTTTAATTCATATCGCATACGTTCTAACATCTTAGAGATTTTGCCACTTCACCATTTACTCGCTACATTGTAAATATTTAACCCTACCATTATTTGTTGTCATATAATTTTCGTCGGTATTCATTTTATCAATAATCCAATAGTGGCTGCAATTCAGGTGCTTTAAATAGAGGAAATTTTTTAAATTACACAAAGATGTGTAGTAGTTGGAAGGGTGTGCCTATTTCGTGCATCATTGGCTCTCAATCGCCGTGGGGTGCACCGGAGTTTCCCTTAGTACAGCCGTCGTATAACCATACGGTATTGTACCATATACCAGGTGATTCCCAATTAGACAGACCCCCAAAACCACAGATTGGTCATGAAAAATGGGATCCCGAACATGTGAGGCTGCCATTCTCTACTCAAAGCCTGTATCCTGTTGAAAACGTAAGATTCACTATTTTTCGTCAAATAAATTAAAGTACGATATTTAATTACTAAATTTTTTAGAATGCAGGTGAAACTAAACTCAAAAATCGATGGGATATGGTTCAGAATGCTTTAAACAGACCAATACGTAACAGTAAGGAGCTCGCTGAAGCTATATTGAGTTATAACACTCAGTTCAAAAATAGATGGAAATTTACAGCATTACATTACTTGTTTGAGGAGGTATACTGAAAAGTTGTATTATTTATATGTGTTATGAGCTTATACAAACATTACATTATGAAGTGTTAAATTTTGTAGTATTTAGAAGAAGAGGAGTCTCGGTACTTTTTTGATGTGACATTACCAGAAATTGCTAAGCTCGCTTTGTCTATAACAAAATTAATACAAGCTCCAATACCTTTGTTGAAGTAAGTGCTTGTTTATAAATAAAGATATCTTTTATCTTTTAATTTATAATTTCTGCTAACATTCTATTTATTTCAGACAGAATAAGAACAGATCTATATCTTTATCGCAACAGCAGATATCATGTTTATTAGCGAATGCATTCTTCTGTACATTTCCACGACGAAACACTACAAAGAAAAATTCTGAATATGCCTCATATCCCCATATTAATTTTAATGTGTGAGTTAAAATAAGTTACAAAAATACTATTGTGTAGGAGATATTGGTTTAATATTATATTTGTTGTTAAATTTATATTATTTTTCTTGCAGTTTGTATGAATGTGAGCCGTCTAACCATGTAGTGGAGAAATTGAAATGCATCTGTCATTACTTCAGGAGAGTTTGCACGAAAGGTGATAATATTATAATAAAAATTATTCATATTAAAATTACAATAGAATGAAAAATTATACATATTTGATGTAAATCTGCAACTTAATATTATAATTTTTGTACTTAGTAAGTGAAAGAATTATTGAATTAATATCTTCTTGATACCCTTGATACTACAATAAAGGTATAAAAAATTGTAAGAAAAATCCATTTAACTAGTATGTCTGATGTTTTAAACAGGCTTACAAGTTACAAAGAAATATTAAGTAAATAAAATTGTAATGTAAGAAGATTAATGTAAACTTAATAAAGCCATTAATAAATATCATTTCTACAGTACAGTTCCAGTTGGAGTGGTCACTGTGTCTCGTCGTTTTGTTCCTGTAAAAGAACTACCAGATTGGAAGAGCTCCGAGCGAGTTATATCCGAACTCCCTGTTCATTGTGACTCGGAAAACACTATAGAAGAAGCACATGGCTTGATACAAGTGGATTTTGCTAATAAGTATGTTTACAGTAATATAAGTTATGGAAAAAATGTATGAAACTTGAAGTTAAAACAGATTTGAAAATGATAAAAGGATATAAAAACATTTTTGAAAAAGATTCAAAAGTTGAAAATAAATTTGAAAAAATAGAAAATGGTTGAGCTTTGAAGTTAAATCGAATTTTAAAATACTATAAATAAATATTTGTTGATATATATTTCAAGATTCTTATAATGTATGTGTTATATTAATGAAGTAATAATTTTAGGTACTTAGGCGGTGGTGTATTGAGTTACGGCTCGGTCCAAGAGGAGATAAGATTCATGATATGCCCGGAGTTGATGATATCTATGTTGTTTACCGAGGAACTGAAGCCTAATGAAGCTTTGATGATTATAGGTGACGATACTTATATATAATTATATGCAAGAAATATACTTGATTATAATATTTAACAGTAAAATTCATCTTAACGAGATCTAACTTTCCCGAGAATTCATTTAAATGAAAAATATTTTCGGATTTCTACCTACTATTTTATTGTTTTACCTTACATACTGACGTTTCGATTACTTTGCAACTATGATCACGGGCAGACAAGATGTTTAAATACTAAAATATCTGTAGTGATTCGAAAAATATTACTTTTATTTCAAATTTATCTTATTTAACCGTAGGTTGTGAACAGTATAGCACATATTCTGGCTATGGTCATAGTTTCTCGTGGGGCTCCAACTATAATGACACGATCCCGCGGGACTCCTCTGGCAGAAGACGGACCGCAGTCCTGGCTATAGACGCTCTGCCTGTCAGGGGTCGCCAACACGAGATAAATGCTAAAAATATTACCAGGGATCTCAATAAGGTAAGATATAAAGCTGCATTTATATTTATTTGATGTGTTGTGATTGATATGACGTGTTATGATGCATTATGACGGTTTTTTGTATTAGTTCCGTCTAGACTCCCAGAGAGTTCACACATTTGTAATGTTTTTTCAAGAATCATCCGATTCAGAATAAGATTTTGAAGAAGAGTTGCAATTAATGTCGTTGGCAACGCTTGTAACGGACCGGGATATACCGTTTAATGCATCACAACACAACACGTCAGATAAATGTAAATGCGGCTTAACCGTATATATATTTATGGAACGCACTCTTAATTTGAAACGGATTTTAAATTCCCGAACGCACCCGTAGTGACGTAAGCGATGACATTTGGTTTGTTCACTTTTACGCGGGAAAGTAGTTGTCGCGAATTTTGTGTTTGTAAATTGATTTTAATTTAAGGCCTTTTGGTTTTAGATAATAATTACTTTATGAAACTATATTTTTAACGATTTTGATAGAATCCTAACTCTATATATATAATTTTTGATGCCCAATAGTATCAGGTATGTTTTATGAATTTTTTTATTTAATATCTATTAATCATTACAGGCGTGGGTGGGTTTTTCGTTCTATTGCGGCAGTGAGTCGGGTCTGAAGTACCCTGGAGTGGCGACCGGCAACTGGGGCTGTGGGGCCTTCGGTGGGTCGCCGCGTCTGAAGTTCCTCATACAGACAATGGCTTTAACTATGGCTGGTCGGCCGCTGGCCTACTACACCTTCGATAATAAAGTGTTGAGAGACGACATTATAAGATGCTATGAGTTGCTTGTCAGACATCAGGTCACCGTTGGTATGAATGTAGATCCCTACTAATATTATAAATGCGAAAGTAATTCTGTCTGTCTGTCTGTTACGCTTTCACGCCTTAACCACTGAACTGATTTTAATGAAATTTGGTACAGAGATTTAGTTGACCTTGAGAAAGAACATAGGATAGTTTTTATCCCAGACTTTTGAAAGGTTCTTTTGGAAACGCGATATAACCGAAATTTTATTAGTTGTTTGTTGAATATTTGAGAAAAAAGGAATTCTTATTATTTGGCTCAGTTTTTAAATTATTTTTCTATGTTATATCTACCATATAACATAGAAAAATAATTTGTTATCGTTTGTTTTTGTTATCGTGTCATTCTTAAACAAATTTATATAAGCTTATTGGTTTTCATGAACTAGAGACATTTCATATATCTGTTATAATTTTCAGGTCAATTGTACAATATTATTATGAGCTACTGTGACTCGAATCAACAGAGTGGTGATATTTACACATACCTGGAACACACTCTGGAGAATAGACAACCGGTTAATAAAAAGAACGATACAAAAAAAGTACAGCAAACAAATGATGTAAGAAATTAATATGATATTTAACATAGTTTTATTATGTGTATTTGTCTATTGATAAAAAAGGAATATATTTCGTGGTTGTGGCGAAATATATAAGTAAACTATTGCTCTTAATACAAATCGTGGCCATCGGTTTTGACAGTGGCGCCAAGGGCGAAAAGAGAAACTATTTTAGTTACGTTCCAATTTACTAATAATATTTATTTTAATATTTGCTTCCAGAGCGGTAATACCTGTGAAGATCTGATTCTTGCTAGAGCGTTGGATTTTTCGCCGGACATATTCTTGCAAGACGAAGATATTGGTGAATACTCGATGGATTTGAAAGATAACACAAAAGAAATGGCAGTTATAGATCTAGACACGAGTCAGAGCGACGATAATAAATGTGTTGATAGTAAAATGATAGTTAAAGATGAACCAGAAAATAGTAAAACAAACCAAACTTCCAGATTATTCGATGAGATGGAAAAATTAGATGAAGACAGCGGCAAATTGAATCTTAAGAGTCCACAGAAAACATTCTTTGGACAAAAAAATAATGATTTGTCTATGGACGTTGGCGAGAAATTACATACAGACATCTCGCCGGATGTCAAAAAGAAATTAACCAAAAAAATTACAGATTATTTCACTAAGAGCCTTTATGATTTTGTATAATAAATAATAAATTATTTGAAATATATAATTTTATTTTTAATTAATAAATTTTAGTTGTGATTGTGACATTAAATATGGGTTACGGAATAAAATAAAGTATATGAATTATAACATTTATTTATTACAACAATGACATTATACACAACACAATATTTTTTTAACTAGTCTAACTCAGACTTTGATAAGTACTTAGATATCGAAGAGTTTCTATGAGTATTAATGAATATAATCTAAGAACGCTTTTCGAAAGCGGATAATTCTTTCAACAGTTGTTCTTCGGAAATTGTTGACAGAGCCTTCAAATGGATTCTGTTGTTGTTTGAAATTTGTTCCAATTGTTGCTTACTAAGAGCTGGAATGCTTTGAACTGATTTAAAATCGTTCTGCTCATTTTGATTTTCGCGTTTCCTTAAAACGTCTTCGATTAATTTTCTTACTTCAATATCCCTTTGCTGATCTTTAGCGGCGTCTGACTGTTTCTGAGCTTTAACTTTGTTGAGATTATTTTTGACGAAAACGAATCTTCCAAAATTAGATTGTTTTGACTGGGAGCGGTTTTGTTTATTGACAGAGTCACGTTTTTTTAAGATGTCTTCAATTATTTTTCTTACCTCGTCGTTTTCCTGTTCTTGTTCTTCAGGCTTAGGTTCAGCGACATTCGATATCTGGTCTTCAGATACAGCTGAAAGAGCTTTAAGAAGCGCTTGATTGTCCTCGATACGTTTCCTTTGCTGTTGGAATACAAGAGGCCTGTTTTGATTGTTTGACTCCTCCGATCCAAAGACATTTTGTTTTTCTATACCCTCAACACCGTGATTTCTTAAAATGTATCTTATACCACTTCCGACATCAACGTTTTGTTGTTCTTCCTTTCTTTCAGATTCATTTTCCCCTTCAAGCTGTACTGAATCTAAAATTGAATCGCTAGAAATCGCTTTCAGTGACTTCAAGTAATCTTCATTATTGAACACAATACGGCGCCATTGTTTTTGAAATTCTTCTGAAAATCTCTTTCCCCCTTGTATATTCTCATTCTGTGGAATGGCATCTTCAAATTGGTTTTGCAATTGACTTTCTTGTTCTAAATTGGGGAGTTGTTGTTCTCTTGGCTTTTGTTCCCTTAAAGAGTCAACGAATTGTCCTGAACCAATTAATTCTTGTACCTTGCGGTAAAAGGCGTCTTGGCTTTCTTCAGATATAGGTCTTTGTTCCTCCCTAACTTGCCCTTGAGCTGCTTCGACTAATTTCTCTTGATTTTCTAGATTGGAAGCCTCTGCTCCATCTTCCCCTTGAGAATTAAATTGGAGCGGTGCTATGATGTACGCAAAATCTTGAGAAACGAATTGCTTACCGTTTTCTTGTCCTTGTTGTATAAATTCTTGCTGTCTATTATTGTTTTGTGCTGTGCATAACACCACCGAAGAAAGAAGGAATGCCGTCTGTAAAACATATTATATGAAATTATTATTATAAGAATGCAACAAATTCTTAAATTTTTATTCATAATTTTATAAAATCACCATAAATAACTTACAAAAGAAAACATTTTGAAGTTCTTACGTTGAGACTGAGATCAGGTGGATCTCTGGTAAAAAAACGTTCAAAATTCTCTTTTTATATACCCGTTCAGAATTTTGAATTTGTACATTGGAATAAATTATAATGAAATTGAGCGGAAGAATATTTTGGAAAGCTAATCATTGCTTCATTGATAACTGGATTATGTCACCCAATGAAACAATTTTTACCATCGCATGTTCTTACCAACTTTATATATAATATTCACATACAGAAAGAGAATATTTATCTTTGCTTCAATTAATCTATATAAACAATTTCACATTTATTCGTTAATTAGTTCTTATATTAAATACTATATTTTTTCTTTTACTGCTTTGACATGACGAGATGACGATCGAATTCTTAATATAATTATTATGTAATAATGTTTTATTTGAATAATTCTATATTTTTTTTTTAAATTCAATTTAGAAGTCATTATATCGTGTTTTAGAAGTTACGATCGTTAAAAAGGTAAAGGTCGCTTTTATCTATACTCTTAAAAAAACTTTTTTTGAACACATTAACATGTTTGTAATGCATTAATTTTATTGTACCAAAAGAGGAATAATATAGATAGTTATTATAAGATAGTTCATATGTGAATATATATTATATTGATCTCGATTAATATTTAAGTTATTTTATGAAAAAAACTTTAATCATTCAAAACCCACGCAGACGATTCAAGGCCACCAGCTTTTTTTAGTTTCGCCATGGATTTTTTATAAGAAAATAAGTGTTCTTGGAAATCATTCGGTAAAAATTAATATCTTTTAATATCTTTGTCGAGAGATTTGATTTGTCAATATTTAAATATATTTTACGACTAATGAAAAATATATTTATAGGAGTCTAACGGTGTTCCTAAAAACAGTGTAAATATAAAATTTCAAAAGTTATCGTTAATATACTCTCTATTTCTATACTATTCGGGTTGCTAAGTGAATTAATTTGCTTTCATTATAAGATTATAAATCCTTCAATAGATAAGAATCGTTTTTAACCAATATAACACATGAAATATATAAGTGAAATTTTGAAACATCTCATCACAAATGTGCATAGTTAAAAATAATAAATAAAAGATGCATTTTATGAAAGTATATATTGAGACATTTAAATTAAATCGATTTTTGACACACATTATGCAGACTTGTATACGATTGCACTATGTGTGAACGTTTGCATTATTATTAATTAATGAATTAATAAAGAAAATTAATTTTAATTTAAGTCTGGAATAAAATGGAACTGTAATGTTCTGAATTGGTATGATTTCTTATAGTTGACAAAAATACGATATTAATATAAAAGAATTAGTAAAAAGTATCTATGTTTAAGCAAATATGTACATTGTATATGTGTATTCTGGTCTTGCTTATACTGTATAGTCGTTTATTCTTGGTGAAACAGTTTAAATTTATTCAGCCCTGTACTTGTAAACTCAGTCATTTTAAACTAATCAAGTTATCAATTCTCTTTATATGCTAGTTTAGGTAAGTACACTAGATAATCGGAAGAGTGGACTTGTCGCTTTCGAGTATCGTGGAGAAGATACTCGAAAGTGATATTTCCTGGCTGACGGCTGCACCCTCCCTCCGCAAACGACGTACGGGGGTGCGACGGAGGCGATTCCAACGCCTCCAATAGCACCCTTGTGCTATTGGACTGGGGTTGGCTTGGTAACCCAGCTCCTGTGAAAGCCCGGTGGGGGGCGGTCCTAATTGCCGGGATCGAAGCCATGCTCCGAGGGAGTAAGTCCGGTCTTTGCCAGGACCGGCCAGTCGCTGGTGTGCCCTGTCGTTGACAGATCCGGGGTACACCGACATAGCGGCCGATGGCTTTTGCAGTGGTTTTAGTGAGTAGGGGTCTGCCCAGGCCGAGTCTCACACATCCCTTCCGGCTTCACCAACGCCGGTTGGACGGCTCGTAAAAAGAGTTTCCCTGCGTCATCAAAAAGAAAAGTACTGTCAATTATAGCTTTGTTAACCTGTTATACCTTTTCTTCAATTGATGAATTTTTCAGAACGTAATATTTATCTGAATTTAAATTTTTCGATAACTTTGGAAATAGTTTGTACTACGTGTGTACTACGTGTGTGTGTTCAAAATTTACGGTGGTATTACATACTTATTACAATTTAAAAAGTTGCAATGCGAAAAATACCTATGATTAAACAGTTAAAAATGCTAGAATCATACATGAGTAGGTTAATAGTCCAAAGTCGTAAAATATGTTAGAATTCAACTTTTATGTCTGTGTTGTACCTATTACCTCAATTGATTATTTATTGAGTGCATGTTTTTTAAAAAATAATAACCGTTTCTTGCTAGTATTTTATCATTGAAATCAGTGTAACCAATCCCTGATAGATTTAATTTATTAGCTATGAAGGAAATGAGGGAGTCGCTGCGCGTCAGCCGTCGAAGGCGGACGTGTCGTTCGATCGCGTCGCGTCCGTGACTAATGTTCGTAACATTCAAGGTTATCTGTCGTGTCGTGTTTTAAAAAAACGCTCTGACTGTGTTTGTGTTATATGCCCAAGGTCAACTGACTTTAGACTTTGATGTCTGTGACGGGCGGAGTTGATGTGGTGACTGAGATGGACAGTGATGGGGCTTCACCCGCAAAGATTGTGGGTGGCTCCATGTTGGACAAAGGCTATGGAATAAAGGATTACCGAGTACGTGTGCCGAGGTTGTCGGATTCGGAAATGTCTGACTGTAGCGTGCGGACAGCGGAGTCACTTTCGGACAGTCGGCTGTGGAGGAAAAGGTCCGCCGGGAGTGCGCTCAACTCTCCCGAGACGGCGGAAGAGACGGCCACTGAGGCGAGCGTCGCTCCAATCAAAGGAGCGGCGCACAAATCAAAAAGAGGGCGGGGAAGGCCTCCTTCTACTGGCCAATACGTTGGCTTACACCGTGCCAAAGTAGAGCTGGCCAGGGCCCAAGAGAAAGAGGCGAGACTCCAAGCAGTGGCCTGCTCCACGCGAGGAAGCGGAAAGCGGGATGAGGAGATCAAGCTCTTGCGAGAAGAGAACGCTGAGCTACGCAAGCGTCTGGAGGAGATGGACGCAACGATTGCCCAACTTGTTCAAAGCGTTAAAGCTTCTACTCAGGAGTTCGATGAAGACAGAGTTGTCCGTAAGGTTGTGGAAGCATTGGGCCGTGCGAATGTGCCAGAGCTCCGGCTCAGGCCTCCGCTAGCCAGTGAAGGAAGAAGGACGGCGGTGACGGCCACAACCTCGACGGTTCCTGGACCTCTGGCTCCAGCACTGCCAGCTGTAGCGGGGGCAAAGGGCCATTCAAAGAAGGGTCGCAAGAAGGCATCTATGGCCGCAACCGAGGCTGCGCTGGGGTCATCGCTCAAGCCCGTAGACGCGTCTCCGTCAATAGGAGCCCCGGAGAAGAACAAAGTTCCGTCTTGGAGCCAGGTGGTTAGAAAGAAGATCGCCCCAAAACCAAAAACGGCGCCACCACCCCTCAAGAAGAAGACGGTGAAGATCAGACCGCCGAAGACTGCGGCGGTCGCAATCACCATCCTCCCGGAAGCAGGAGAAAACGCCTCCTATGAGGCGGTGCTGAGGGAGGCGCGCCAACGCATAGATGTCCAGGCGCTGGGCCTTGGGCCCTTAAAATGGAGGAAAGCGCAGACCGGGGCTCGGATATTTGAGATTGGTGGGGAGGACTCTGCTGCGAAGGCAGACCTCTTCGCTGAAAAGCTCAGGGAGGTAGTGAATCCCGAGGCAGTGAAGATCCACCGCCCTGTGATGCGCACCTCAATCCGTGTCGCTGGCCTGGACGAGTCCGTTACTCAGGCTGAGGTAGTGGCAACGGTTGCTCAGGTGGGCGGCTGCCCCGCCGAGCTTATCGCTGCAGGTTCCCTCTCAGCGTCGGGCGCTATCCTGCTGGGAGTCCCAGCGGCAGCCGCCAAAAAAGTGGTTGACGCGGGCCGGATCTTCGTCGGATGGAGTTCCGCTCGCATCTCAGCAATGGCACCGGTGGCTCGGAAATGTTTCCGGTGCCTGGCAACCGGACATTTAGCGGCCATGTGCAAGGTCGCTCAGGGAGTTCCCCGGGGCCACTGCTATCGCTGCGGGCGGTCAGTCGGGTCATTTCGCACGGGATTGCAAAAACGATCCAAACTGTGCGGCGTGTATCGCGCTAGAAAAACCAGCCACACACGTGGCCGGAGGCGAAGGGTGCTGCCTAAAAGCCCAGTCAGCGAAAAAGGGGAGTGGGGGGGCAAGGCTCCCTAAGCCCTCCAACAGAGGAGATATGGATACGTCCTAATCCATGGATATAGAAATACTTCAAGCGAACGTAAACCACTGCGCCAGGGCCCAGGATCTCTTTGTCCAGACCATGGCGGAGTGGCAAACACAGATCGCAGTGGTCGCTGAGCCATACGTCGTGCCGCCCCGGGACGACTGGGTTGGGGATACGGAGGGACTAGTGGCCATCGTCGCCTCGCGGGTCAACGGAGCCCCTCCTCTGATATTTACAGCCAGGGGCCGAGGTTACGTAATGGTTAGCGTGGGTGGCACTGCAGTAGTGGGGGTGTATTGCTCCCCTAACGAGGGCTTTACTGCTTTTCAGCAAGTCCTCGTTGAGGTGGGAGCTCTAGTCAACAGAGTGCACCCTTGCCCCGTGCTAGTCGCCGGGGATTTCAACGCCAAATCTCGAGCGTGGGGATCTGCGGTGACGAACGCGCGGGGAAATTTACTGGAGGAGTGGGCTATAAGCCTTGGTTTGGAGGTCCTCAACAGGGGAAGCGAGTTGACGTGTGTTCGTCACAATGGGGGGTCGGTGGTTGACGTCACATTCGCCTCTGCCCCCCTGGCGCGCCGTATTGCAGATTGGGCAGTGGTGGTTGACGCGGAAACCCTGTCGGATCACCGCTATATCCGTTTCAGGGTGGCCACGTCTTCTACGTCACAAGTCGGAGCTTCCCCTACTGGAGATGGAAGAAAATGGGTGCTGGGAAAACTGGACATTTCCTTGGCCAAAGAAGTGGCCATCGTGGAAGAGTGGTCCAGGGGGTTATCGTCCGACAACCTGGATCACGAAGTTGACGTGTTCTGCGGTGCGCTGGTCCGTATATGCGAAGCCTCGATGCCGAAAGCGCGTCCCGTCACCCCACGGCACCGGGTGTACTGGTGGCGAGACGAACTCCGCGATTTGCGTCGAGCGTGTGTCACCGCCCGCCGTCGCCATGCCCGCGCCAGGCGTAGGAGTGTACGGGACGTTCAGAGAGAGGACGTCCTATACGAGGAGTACCGGGCTGCACGCAAGGCTCTGCAGATGGGGATCAGCGCTGCCAAGGAGGCGGCCTGGAACGAGTGGCTAGAGTCACTGGATCGGGATCCGTGGGGGCGGCCGTATAAGGTCATCAGGGCCAAATCCAGGCCTTGGACCCAGCCGATCACGACCACTCTTCAGCCACAGTTCGTGGAGGAGGTGGTGGAGGCGTTGTTTCCTCGAAGGGAGCCTTGGACGCCTCCAGCTATGGCTGATAACTCGCCAAACGAGTCCAGTAGTCCGGCGGTGTCCGAGGAGGAACTGTGTCGTGCGCGTGCAAAGCTGCGGGGCAAGAGGACCACCCCGGGCTTGGACGGAGTTCCCGGTCGGGTGGTGAACATAGCGTCCGAGGCAATGGAGGCATGGATGCGGGAGGTGTTCTCCATGTGCCTGGACCGAGGCCGGTTTCCGGCTTGTTGGAAGGTGGGGAAACTGGTCCTACTACGGAAACCAGGCCGGGACGAGGGCCTGCCGTCGGCATATCGGCCGATTGTGCTCCTGGACGAGGCGGGTAAGCTCTTTGAGCGAGTGCTCGCGGCTCGTCTCGTCCAGTCGATGAGCAGAAGTCTGCACGAGACCCAGTTCGGCTTCAGAGAGGGCCGGTCGACGGTGGACGCAATCCTGCGTGTGAGGTCGCTCGCTGAGGAGGCTGTGTCTCAGGGTGGGGTGTTGCTAGCGGTATCGCTAGACATCTCCAACGCCTTCAACACCCTTCCTTGGGAGACAATACTTGCAGGCCTGAGGTGGCACGGGGTGCCAAGGTACCTGCAGGTAATGGTGGCGGACTATTTTGTGGGCCGCAAAATAGTATACCCCACGCAGGGGGGCCGTTGGGTCTATAAGACGATGTCGTGTGGTGTTCCACAAGGGTCTGTCCTAGGCCCCCTCTTGTGGAACATCGGCTACGACTGGGTGTTACGGGGAGCTAATGTTCCCGGTGTCTGCGTGACTTGTTACGCAGACGACACCCTGGTCACGGCTTACGGTTCCTCCTACCGAGAGGCGTCAATCGTCGCAACAGCGGGTGTGGCTCTAGTCGTACGACGGATTCGTGCTCTGGGATTGGAGGTGGCTCTCGACAAGTGCGAGGCCATCTCCTTCCACGGTCCGCGGAGGGGACCGCCGAGGGGAGCGAGTATTGTGGTCGGAGGAACGGTTATCGCTGTTCAGCCCTGGTTGAAGTACCTAGGGCTGGTCCTCGACAGTCGATGGACGTTCGGCGAGCATTTCCGGCGACTGGAACCCAAATTAGTCGCGGCGGCTGGCGCGTTGGGGCGCCTGCTTCCGAACGTCGGTGGTCCCAGTGTGGCATGTCGTAGACTCTACACTGGGGTCGTTAGATCAATGGCACTGTACGGTGCGCCTGTATGGGCCCGGTCTCTCGGCCCACGAACGATAGCCTACCTCCGCCGTCCGCAGCGTATCTTGGCGCGACGGGTGGCACGGGCGTACCGCACAGTATCTTTTGAGGGGGCCTGCGTGCTGGCCAGCACGCCACCGTGGTACCTGGAGGCCGATGCGTTGTCGGCTGTCTATCACCGGCGCGCGGAGGCTCGCAGCCGTGACGGAGGAGTTGCGTCCGGGACGGTCGCCGAATGGAGAAGGGATGCGGCGGCCAACGTCCTGCGTAGATGGGGTGAGCGACTGGCTTCTCCGACGGCCAGTTATGAACTGGCCACCGCTGTCAGGCCTGTTCTTTGCGAGTGGGTGGGTCGCACGTTTGGCCCACTGACCTACCGCCTGTCACAGCTGCTGTCGGGACACGGATGTTTCGGCAGGTATCTGTGGCGGGTGGTGGGCAGGGAAGAAAGCCCCGCCTGCCATCACTGCGGGGGTGGCGTGGAGGACTCGGCGCAGCATACTCGCGAGTCATGCCCAGCGTGGGACAGTCTTCGCGCTGCTTTGACTACGGTCATAGGGAGGGACCTCTCGTTGCCGGCTATAATCTCGGCTATGGTCGGCAGCGAGAAGGCATGGGAGGCGGTGGCCGCTTTCGCCGAAGCGGTCATCAGCGCGAAGGAGGCAGCGGAGCGGGCCAGGGAGAGCAACCTGGAGGCCCCTGCCCTCCGTCGTCGACGAATTGGTCGCCGGCGCCGAGCCTATCTGGCCTCTTTACAGCCATAGGTTAAACGCCGGGCGACGTGATCCTGGGTGGCAGACGGGGACTTCTGTCGCCCGCTGGCAGGATCAGTGCGGTGCTAGCCCCTCTTGTTCCGGGGACGGCTCGCGGTGGTGGTTTGTGGGGGGATTTGTCCCCCTTAGTTCGAGGTCCGGAGTGGACAAGCGCCGGCAGGGTCGCGAGGCAAGCTTTTGGTATACCGTGGCCCTGCCTAGGTGGCGTGGATGAGGAACACCCAGGGGTTTTAGTGGGTCGAAACCCCACATAACCCGGTCAAGTCCCCGCTCGGCCGGGTATCTGTGAACAGATTTCCCCTGGGAAAACAAAAAAAAAAAAAAAAAAAGCTATGAAGGAAATGCTACCTTCTTAATATTAAAATATGTAATTTCAAAGGTATAAGAACCTCTTATTTCAAGTTAGAATTCATTTTAAACGGTTTTTATGAATTTTGATGTAACTTCAGTATTAATTTTTTTTATGTCTGGACTATATTTTAATAATTAAAAAAAAAAATGGTTTCAGAAACCTGTAGAAGAATATAAAAGAAGGACTTTATTGCAGTCGGTTAAATTAATTTATTAATATATTATTTGATTCATAAATTAGATTTTACTTAAGTCAGATTAAATATAAAGAAGTGATAAGGATAAAGAAGTTTAATTGAAATGTTTTCATTTACACAGTATTACACAACTTTTATAACGTAGGTACCTACTTCTAAGGGATTTCCACTATATATGATAATAGTGCCCAAAATTCAATCAATTCTTTTTTGACATTTGCTTCTTCCGCACGTATTGTTTTGCTGTTAAAGTCAACTTGACTTATTGAAGTTTGTAAACAGTACGAAAGTTTAAATTTCTTTGTTTTAATCAATAAGATTAAGAGTGCTTTGATAAAAGAAGTTTATTTGACTGAGGTAAATATTAGAAAATTTGGGTTTTTAATTATTCATTAAGTAATATTGCACCACGATATTCTTCCGTTATGTAAATACGCGCTAAGCTATAACTCATAATTAAGAAGTTAGTTCACAGGTATAAAATACTTTTTTGTTACAATTCGTGAAGTCAAAATGGTACACAAGTTGTTGATATTATAATGATTTTGTACAATGCAAAATCTTATATGACCAATTTGCCACGCTATGTTTTTTTGTGCTAATTTAAGTTAACGTACTTCGTTTATTTCCTTATAAGACAATTATCGATCATGTTTCATGGTCGCCGCTAAGAAAATATAAATAATGAAGTAAATAAGAGATTTAACTATCTTTAAAAAAATATTCCTTGCAATAATTATTGAAGATATATTTTTATCGATTGATATTCTCTTGATATAACTGGAAGATATAAGATGGTATTGATATAGTAAAAAGAAATATTATTCAGTATACATTTAATATTAGAAGAATTTCAGTAAAATAACATCAAATTCAGGATCCTTATTGTCACTAAAATCTTCTAATAAATTACTTCTTACGGGTTTAATACTATCAAAATCATTGCGGTCTATTAATTCTCATGTAACATAGCACTGAATATAACAATATATTATATCCTTTTAATTCTTAAGTGTGATTTTGTTCAAATAAATATAGTTGTGTAGGTTTATAATAAATTACTTTTAAAGTGGTACCCTATTTTTCTTAGCTAATTAGGCAATGTGCCTAATTGCAGAATAAAAAATACAGGATTAACTTATTTTGATGATATAAATTTAACAATTATCAATTTATTTTATAAGGATTCAGAAACAAGTAAAAAACATGATTCCATTCATAATTTAACACTTCCAAAGATATAGAGTAAACTATTATACTGAACTATTGTTTAGACTGGTTTGTAAATAACTTTTTTTGTTAATTTATATTTATATTTGTAACAAATTTGGGATCCCATCAATAAAAATATCTTATACATTAAATAACTTAAGACGGATACTACAAAAATACAGAAGAGATATAGATTACATAATTAAAAATTTTAATAAAAAAATAATTAAATATTGAATCATAAATATTACTTTTTTATTATCTACTTAATTTCAACTTTATATATTTACAAGTTTGTGTTTTTTTTTTGAAAAAAACTGGATTTGAACAGGATTTTAATTAAATATTATGTTATATAGCTGTCATAGTTTATACTGTATTATAAGGATTACCATAAAATTATTCAAGTAACTTCTAAATTTCTTAAAATTTCATAGTTAATGTCTCCAATTTTAGGACTTTCTTAGTATCCAAGTAAAAAGAACACACATTAAACAAGATTTGATTGTTAAATCTATAATAAATCTGTTTTTCTTCCTCATATAGAATTAAAATGCATAATACTCATTGTTGGACGGCAGAAGATTTCCCACCGGTTGAACCAAGTGAGGATCATATAGTATTATATAGAATACACAATGGGGAGTACATTCCAAATATCGGAGAAGATAAATGGGACAAGGACCATGTGAAAATGCCATGTTCTGATAGAAATATTAGCAAGGAGGTATTATAATAATATTTCATGCATTCTTAATTGCACTTCATTTGTTTTATGGGAGAAGTATTCAGTCGTTTTAAAAATACAACAACTGTAATTGGGTTTTAGATTTTTTTTGTATAATAGGAAGAATATAATTTTTTTAGTAATAATTCAAAAATCATTTCAAAATGAAAAAAAAAAACATATATTTTTCTTAATCAAAAATCCAGTTATAACTAATAATAATTATTGAATATTTTTTTAAATATTTTGTAGATGAATGAAACTAAACAATGGGACGTCATAGCAAAAGCTTTGTCTCAAAAAATAAAAAATTCCGAGGATTTAGCATCCGCGATACTCACTTATCAGACACAGTTCAAGGATATTTGGAAGTTTAAAGCTATGCACAGGTTTTTTAACGAGGTATTTTTGTTCAACAGTCTTATAATTTTTTTGGTTTTCACGATTCGTTATTTTAAAATTTATTTTCGCAGTATTGGGATAAAAAGGACAGTGAATATTTCTTCGAGAACACATTACCTAAAGTTGCGCGTTTAGCTTTAGATTTACCGGAGTTAATCAAATCGCCTATACCGTTACTCAAGTAAGTTCTGTTAATGATCATTTTTGAGTTAAAAACTGGTTATTTTATATAAATAATATATTTTTAGACAAGGATGTAACAAATCGATATCGTTTACGCAGTTGCAACTTGCTAGTTTGCTCGCAAACGCATTCTTTTGTACATTTCCTGAAAGGAATAATAAGAGAAAGGATTCAGAATACAAAACATATCCTCCGGTAAATTTTAACGTGTGAGTAAAAAATTAACCGATAGTTTTATATTTATAAAGATGATTATATTTGACATATACCTACATTTATCTTTTAGATTATACGACGGCGGTGGACCAAAAGTAATGGAGAAATTTAAATTTATCTGTCATTATTTTAAAAGAGTTTGCGAAGGTACAGTACAATATTTATATTTAACTAGCTTTCCGCCCGCAGCTTCGCCCGCGTCGAGTTCGGTTATATCTCGTTTCCAAGAGAACCTTTCAAAAATGTAGGAAAAAAACTATCCTATGTTCTTTCTCAAGGTCAACTCTATCTCTGTACCAAATTTCATTAAAATCAGTTCAGTGTTTTAGGGGCGAAAGCGTAACAGACAAACAGACAGACATGGTTACTTCCGCATTTATAATATAAGTAGGGATAACATGATTTTCCTTAATTAATTTTATTTTTATTTACAGTAAATCCAACCGGAGTTGTAACATTTTCTCGTCGCTACATTCCTATAGACAAATGTCCCGATTGGTCACGCGTTACCCTTCCCATGTCAACAGTGCCCCTTCATGTAGACGATAGCAAACTTATTGAAGACGCCACATACTGGATACAAATGGATTTCGCCAATAAGTAAATAAAACATAAATATTATATAACAATCAAGTACATTTATTAACAATAAACGGCTTGGTTTTTTTAAGCTATTTATACACAACTCTGGGTGACATTACCCTCGCTTCAAAATCAATACCTGTTAGAAATTACCCTTTCTGTAATGTTAATTTCATTATGAGTTGTTGCTTAAATGAAACTAATATTTTCGGATTACTACGAGATTTTTTTTAAGTACATACTCCCGACGTTTCGGTTCGGTTAGATACAAAAGTTCATATATCATCTCGTATGAAAATAATAACGCGTAGTAATCCGAAAATGTTAGTTGCATTTAAATGAATAGGTACTATCGAAAGGTTTAGAACTCATAATGAGTTGTTATTTTATTAAATTTAAATACTAGCTTTCCGCCCGCAGCTTCGTCCGCGTGGAGTTCAGTTATATCGCGTTTCCAAGATAATCTTTCAAAAGTCTAGGATAAAAACTATCCTATGTTCTTTCTCAAGGTCAACTCTGTCTGTACCAAATTTCATTCAAATAAGTTCAGTGGTTTAGGCGTGAAAGCGTAACAGACAGACAGTTACTTTCGCATTTATAATATTAGTAGGATTATATGTTTTAATATAGTAATAGTTGTAATAGCTATAGTTTTTCAGGTATATAGGTGGCGGCGTTCTTCGTCGTGGGGCTGTACAAGAGGAAATTAGGTTTGTATCGAACCCTGAACTCATGGTGTCATTATTGTTCACTGAGGTCTTGGGACCCACTGAAGCCGTCATGATTATAGGTATACTTGAATTATTACAAAAAATATAATTTATTTATAATAGATTAGAAATATTGCAACAATTATATAATGTTTTGCTTAAAATAAAATCTATTATTTATAACAATATTAAATAATCTTAGTTATCTGTAAGGGGCCGTTCAAGTATTACGTAAGCACTATGGAGGGGCGGGGGGGTCTTTGCTTTGCTTTCATTTGCTGACAAGTTGATGGGGGTGTAAATATTTATAATAAATCTGCTTACGTAATACTTGAACGGCCCCTAAGACATTTTTTGTCAAATCTGATTCTACCTTCATTTAATCGTCTAATTAAATCTGCACATAAAATTTTCATAGTGTAGAAGTATAGTTTACATAAAACCGATATTATGTGCTAGTTAACCACAATACATACTTTCAATGTTATGGTAAATAAGATTTTTTGGTACTTAGGTACAGAACGTTATAGTACGCACACTGGTTATAGCTCCACTATCAAATGGGCTGGAAATTATATAGATGAGACCCCCACAGACTCGTCTGCCAGACGGCAGTGTGCGATATTAGCGTTGGACGCTAGAAGATTCCCTAAACCTGACGAACAGTATTGTAAGGAAATGATAGACAGAGAATTGAATAAGGTATATTCTATAATACTTTTGTAAAAACGTGGTATGTTTATTAAATGTCACTGTCATTATCAAATTACACTAAAGTTTTCGTAAAATGATAAAAATACGCGCAGTATCCGCACACTATACGTAGAGATAATCATATATATCATTATTATTATTAAATTGATAAAATATATTTGTATACAGTCATTACAAACGTAAGCGGATTTATATATGTTCTTAAAATATATCAAGACTGATTTTGTACAGTGGCAATACTATTAACTGTTAACTTTAAAATATTCAATCTGGAGGCATTTCTTTAACAATATCTCTTGAATATCCTTTAAATTCTATAAAGAAAAAGTAGGAATTATGTCCTGTCAAAATTTATATCAATAAAGTATAATGATCATTGCCTCCTGGTTCCTCATGGTTCAATTGTGAACCCGTCCAAATAAAATAATATTTTTACTTTCATAGGCTTGTTACATATAACACATTTATTTTATTATTATTTTATATAAATACTCTTTACAAAATATTAAATAATTATGTATGTAAATAATTATATGAGCCTAAGTATTTTTTAACTTCCCAAAATCAATAAAAAAAATTATCTGTTTTGTTTATTATTTCAGGCATATGTTGGATTTTCATTTTATTCAAAGGCCGGAGGATTGAGTTACCCCGGAGTAGCAACTGGCAACTGGGGTTGTGGGGCTTTTGGTGGTTCGGCAAAACTGAAATCTCTATTACAAATCATGGCCTGTGTTAAAGCCGGCAGATCAATTTCATATTTTACATTTAATGATGCAACATTAAAAAATAATATAGAACATATGTATGAGTATCTTAGAACAAATAATGTGACAGTTGGTTAGTATTAAGAAAATATTATTTTATATTGAGATTTTAATTTAATAATTGTTTAATTTTCTCAGGTGATCTATATAAATGCTTGATGGATTTCTGTGAATCTGAGGATCATGTTAGTGTATTTGTTAACTTATATGAAAACATAGAGAACTATTTCAAGGAACAAACAAGGTGAGCCATTAAAAAATTTGGTTTTAAAATTAATCCTTTTTAAATATTTCAATTCATTATTTTTTCTAGTCTGGATGGCAATCTACCGAAGAGATAAATATGATTTACTTGAAGAGAAAATTAACCATTGATTGAAATCAAAATAGTTTCACAATACATGAGCTTTATAGGTACCTGATATTATTTTTATACACATAAGATTACTCTACATCAACTTTATTAAATGAAGATGTCAAGAATTTATGTATCAAAGAAGTTTATAATTTGTAAAGTTCCTCAATCTCTGAAATAAACATTAATTTTTACCAAACAAGGTGAGAGGTTCTTGAAAATATAAACTTAATAAATATTGTCTATAAACCAATTGTAAAGATAATATTCAGTTAAAATAAAACACACACCTAATATAATTAAAATTATTTATTATCCTTCCTCATATTTCTAGCATACTAAACGTAATAAGTGTATAATAATAAATAATTGAATAGTAATTTAGTTTTGAAATATTCCAGCCATATACATAATAACATCATAGGTTATTAAATAAATTATACATGCAAAGTAGGCAAATAATTATTGTATTAGTTTCATAAACGTGGTACTATTAGCAGTCCATTAGCTACAGAATTTATCTAGACTAAATAATTAAATAAATTATTAACTAGCGACGCTCAAATAAGTTTTATATCTCTCTTAAATTACAAAACTTTGGCGAAGTATAACAATATAATATGATTCATTAGAACAGCCTAGCTATCAAATGCACTGCTGGTAACTTCTGTTTAATATATCGTGCTGTCCACGGACACACAAAATGGATTACGTCACACAACTAATATTTATTCCCAGTATTTATAATTCATATCATAATCGAGGCTTACCTTTACCCCGGGGTAATATTAGTCGATATAAATTCTTGACAATATTCAACAAAGTTGTACTACCAGGTAAGTACACAACAAAGGTATAGAAGTTTTAGCCTAAAAGTTCGCTAATTCACTAATTTTCATAATCTTCAACCGGTTTCATATTGTTATTGATAAAGCAATCCATTTTGCACGTCAAAAACAACGTCTTGAATATATTAGGTAGTGGACTCATCATTTGATTGTGCAATTCTGACAGTTGCTATAATCTATGGTCTCATAATAGAATGCGGCAGGAAATACATGATTTAATGTAAGATTACTCATTATTGTTAAATATTTTTTTCAAGAACAGATCTAGTTTTGGACATGTATACAGATCTAGAATTATGATTTAAAATGTCTATATTTAATATTACTAAATCTGTCCTTGAAATTGAAACAAGCGAGCGACTAGCTAACTTTGCCGTCTTTCCAATTTCTCGAATACAAATTGAGTCATCTATGATTAATTTCTGAATATATTGAAGAAATTTGACTGACGGTTTGTACTCATTTAGAAGGTAAGTTGTTTTGCCGCGCGTGAAACACTTTAAATTATACTATCAATTAACAATTAACCCACGTTTGCAAATAATAATCCTTACATTATATAGGAAAACTGATTCCAGTTAATGTTATGTGTAGATTTTATAAACAACGTATACATATAATGCTCGTCAATATTTAATATATTACAACTGACAAAATCCACATATCATACAAACAAACAGCATAATGTAGTATTCAATTCTCTTATATTTAAATTGTAGCAAATCTATGGTATATAAAACTATATAATTTCAAAAGAATTGCATCTTGTTATAAGCGGCTATTTGAGACTTTTAAAACCAATTTACATTCTCCTTAAATATATAGCTATTAATTTTCTATAATTAAATTGAAAACAAATATTTTATGTATAATACATACGATCGTGTTTACAAATGTACGGTTTTCTTATAAGGTTTCGTGTGTTCGAGCTAAACGGAACGTTAGTGGGAAATTAACAAAAACTTTATGGGTTAAATGGACGATCTTTACAAGCGTATATCACAGACACCAGTAGAGGTGTCTTGCTAAGCTAACACCTACTCGTTTGCGTGGCGTTAGTGTTGCTTATATTTACATGAAAACAATTACCGTCCTCTACACTGATGCTTACTAAAATATATATTTAGCGTTCGTTATATCAAAAATAGTCGAGAGCGGGCATTTCACATTACTCCGATATAAGTTATCCAGAACAATGTGCGAACTGTTGTCGGCCATTCATTATTTATATATTTTGTTAGTTTTTACTTCATTTACGTGCGGTTTATCGACGATATATTTATGTATTTTTTTTGTTTAGACTGGTAACAATTTTCGTGTTGTTTCTGAACGTTAATGACAATGAACTCTTAGCATAACACAGCGACACCCTGTCACCCGCCCGAGACGACCCGGGGCAAAACGCTAGTAAGCTCCTAAATTAGATATGACTTTATTTATGTACATTCTGGAACAAGTGACCGTTACCAAAATCCAAAAAACCTTAGAAATAGAGCGTTGATATTGTTTGTATAAAGAATTTGAAGTAATTATCGAAGTAAGTTTCCGAAGAGAAGACTATTATTTAATCTTATTTTTATATGTATATAATATTTTATTTCGAGATCGACTGTAGTTTTATTTAATTTCTGTCTAACTATTGTTTTTTATATATATTTTTACAGTTGTCTTAACTCGGAAGTGGGGCTGTGTAGAGCAAATAAATGAAATGTTTTACGGACGGCGCGTTTTTTTCGCTGACGTTACATTAGCTGAGTACAGTGTATGTACCGTCAGCAGAACTGATTATACATATAAGTTATGCTTCTACCTATATAATTAATAATTTAAATCCACCTACTGTTTTTTCCTCTAACCTAACCAAAATGGTTACACCAATCGTGAATCTTGACTATCCTCTATACAAAGAAACTTTGATAAATAAATACAAAACAATATTCTGGATAACTTATCAAAAACATTTTTAAACTTCGTAGATTATATAGCGGCTGGAAACTACATCGTCAAGCTTATAAAATAAATACATAAGTTAAATTTAAAATACGGACATCCGTCCTCATTTAAACTATCTAAATGTTTCAATATTTAAAATAATTTATAGGACACAAAGTTTAAAGAAATGCACGAAATTACGAGTGCTTGAAGCTAAACTATGCTAAGCGATAGAAAAAAATAAATGAAGGAGATATGACTAGACATTGTTCCTCGCTAGGATCTACAGTTCATAAAAGCACTATGCGCATTTCATCATATCTTTACATATATAAATATACTCATTACCGTTTTAATCCAAAATCTAATTGTTTATTCCCGATTTGAATATTGGCATTCTTATTAACTAACGTTGTACGATGTTGGGACTATCCATCCGACGAGTATATAGATGGCGCCAAAACCTCATTCCTAAACCATTCCATGATCTAATTCCCCTAAATACTTCACATATCTCATCATTCTATCAGATATCTCCAAATCTACTAGCGCTACGGCGAATGAACATGAATTATAAATATTTAAAAAACATTACGAGTTAAATAGTTCTCAATCATATTTGTTTCAGTAAAACTAAGACGTTCGACCGTGTGTGCTAGACATGTGCGTTTATATTTCTGTGTTGGCAACACTTATGTTTATTATAATTCATCATAACAATTTTCAAATGGGAATATTTCTATGTTAATATAATACATAATAGATACGCAACGGTAAAAATATGAATATCGTTCAAGTTATTACTAAAAATGACAAGTGAATAAGGATACTTTGCTAAATAAGGATAGAACTAATGAAGGTTAGTGCTAGTTACAAATAAAATACTAAGCTAGTTAAGGTCGCGAGTGACGTGAGGATATAGTATTTGGTTACGCTACGATAGTGAGAGTATAAAAAGTCGCAACAGACTACAGTGGACCCGATTGTGAAGCGGCGCGGGCACCGCCTTACTGAGCCGACGTACTTGGACATCGCGCTCCGTGCCACCGACAAGCGATCCAGCGAATACTACACTTGAGAGGCAACGTCTGCCGTGAAAAATATTTAGATACGTTTAAATAATTGCAAAGCATTACCCTGTATCCTAGAATCACTTTGTGGGCGATTGATTTTTTTTTTATATTTTTACATTCAGTGAGGTTATCAAATTTTCATTACAGACATTGCGTCGTTGCAATATTATTAGAGAATTTCATTATCAGTACAAAGATATATAACGTTAACTGCCAAAATATCGACGCTGGGTCGGATATTAAAGCGTTTTAGTTTTACTTTAACCCACGGGTGATATAATCGTTAATCGACATAATATATAAATATACTAAGTGTACGTGTTCCGCTTTGGCATCGATTTTTATGTAACCTAACAGCGGACATCGCGCGAATCGAGGGCAACACGCGCAGCCGCTACTCAACAGAGATGAACCATCCATAGAGGCTGGCCAACAGATTAGTTAATATCGACCTGGTTCCATTGAGAACAGATACCAGAAAAATAGATGCGCCAGAATTCCTTCATAAACCCGTTCTCAAGGTGAGAATTTCATTCATAGTGACCCGAACTCAAAAACAGGCCAGCCCCATTATATCACTAAGAGACCACTTCGACAAACAATTTAAAACGGTAACAGAAACATATACAATAAATAAATAAAAGTAGCATTATACATAAGTTAGCTAAACAATTAAAAGCGTAACAATATTGCAAGAACTTGTACCAACGCTTTGAACGATAAAGGTACAATTTCACTGAGTTCCAACTTACAGATTATTAGTAAATCATAAACGCCTAAAACTTGAATACTATATCAATATAATATAATTATTTGTGTAAATATAAAATTCTATGTCTTGTGGGGAGAGTAATATTTGACTAGAGGCGGGCGGCGACATTGCTAACGCCTACCGCACGCGGTAAGCATTGCTGTAACCGGCACACAGAACACTTAACGATCGACCACATTTGTTTGACACTCGGGGATTATAAGAAAATTGCTCTTAATATTTACCATATCACAATTTCATATAACCCAAAGCATCTTCAAGAGGAAACTTACTATGACCGTACGTCATCCTATGGTATGACTATTCAAACTTACAAAAAGAACAAATTTCTGTGTGCGGTCACGAAACTTTTGAGCTCGCATGTCAGGAGTATAATAGGAAATATTCATTTTATTTATATTTATAATTGTTTCATTGTCATATATATTTGGTATTTTACCGGAGTTTTACAAACGGACGGAGATTAACTGTGAAATTTGGAAATGTTGAAATTTTAGTATAACTTTTTGTAATCTTAGTGCTAAGTCGTATCACCAGATAAAAATAAACTCGCAACAAACATTTCCTTATCATACTCCGTCATGTCCGCCGAGCCCAAAAGGTTTTGAGTATTTTTATAAACAGTGCTCTGTTATATGAAGCTATCCAAATTAATGACTCGGGCGAAGGAAAGAATGCCCTCACGTTCAATTGAACTTCATGCCAACACTTTTTATAAAAATAGAACCATTGGCGCCAAAAACGTTTACGCCGATTTACAGTTATTATCTAGTAAAAGTAGTAAATGGCACATACATTTTTGCCTGTAATTTAAAGCTGTTGTTCAATACAACGGCACTCCTAGATATAGAACCCGCCCGCGCGCACGCATTATCATCTAAGGTATCTCAATATTATTATAATTTTATATTGGTACGTTTTGATTATGAATCTATGTTTCATTCTGTAGAAATTACACTAGTATATTCAATCTGTTCCGCTCTCCCACTGTTGGCTCCCTGGACGCATCCTACTGCGAGTAATACCTAAATATGTATAGATTTATATATATGTTTATATAGACGATAAGACACACATACACAAAATAAATATATGGGATTCACGCTCTCTGTGAATTGACATCGCTCTCGCGAGTTACCGCCCGCTATATGGGTTGCTTGTTCGAGCTCTAGGCACGTCTTTGAATCGTTCCCAAATCTAAGTTATTTATTCGACTAAAACATTGGGTACTATCTACAACTTTTTCTAAAATCGGTAACAATTCCGACGTGCCTTTCACTTTTAATAATTATTCTTTATAGTAAATTATTTCTAGGTCAATGTGTGTTATAGGTATGCAATAATTTCTGTAAGTTCGGGTAGTCCAACGTAATATAAACCAATAATATAATATATATTCTGTTGCTGTTAATTTGTTGCAGCAGCGAGCGGTATTTAAGAGCGTTAGCACTCATAGTATAGACGGCCTGTACAATTATTTTGATATTATATTTTTCTTATATCACAGCCCATTTTGGAATTTACAACAAACAAAACAATAAATTCAAAATAATATTCTTAAGTAAACGGTAATGTCGAAGTGCACTTTGATTTGTACACGGCGTTATATGAACATCAATTTCAACAACAATGAGTTACTTTTAGATCTCAGTAACATGTAATCAATGGCTTGCCGAGCTGTCTGACGAGTTCTAACGGAAATAATTTAAACCTCCAAATACTATTTACATTACATTCAGCTGCATAGATCGTTCGGAGGAAGCTAATCGATCGATTAGGTATCGATATAGTTCATTGACCTTCACCCCCCACGAACGAACCAGCAGATTCAGTTAAAGGAACTTCAATCTACTCCTCAGTACAGCTCAGCATAATATATCAGACACACACATCAATAGAATTTAACAAAATATATTACAATATCCGACAGTGGTACTATAGCGATACGGGAGGGAGGCAACAGTGTTTCGAGCCAGGGTTGGCGAGTCTTTGAGATGGTCTTCAAACTACCACCTTCACCACAACGCACCACAATACAAAGACACACCAACCCGGTACGATTATGCAATATACAATAATTAAAATACATTTTTTCTTACTCTCGACTTACTTAATAAATTCAGTTTGGCTTAGTTCAAGCAAATAACTAGTATAATAAATTTATGTTAAAAGTTTCAGTTAAACGTTAAGTACTTAGAAGTAGAAGTATGATTACGAATGACAAAATTTTTATAACGTGTCATTTAATAATAATAATAATAATTTAATCAAAGTTAATAAATTGTATATATAATAATATAATAGAGTATTTTAATGATTAATTGATAATGATAAGAATGAAGCTTTCCTACGCGCTGATCAATAAATTACTTTAATTAATATAGTATACTCGCCGCTCGGGCTTGCATATCTCTTTAAGTAAGTAATGTAGTTAATGATATTTACTATACAATAAATGTTAAATTCCTTAGAATTCTTGATAATACGCAAAGAAGCGCATCGCGGGCGAAGGGTACTTGCCGGCAGCCTTCTGTAATCAGAAATAAAAATATCTTTATATACTGACTTATTTGAAGGGGTAGAGCAAATCCTAAAATTAATCTTATTATCCTCTAAAGGATGATAAAGGATAAAGAATTAACATAACTACATACTTTTCAAGTAATGAATAATGATCCAGTTATTTTCTTTTATATATCCTAAATTTCATTTCTAAAGCGTGTAACGTATTTAATCGTCAATTTGCACAGATGTTTATTATTCATCTATCAGTTTGCTACTAAATACTGTGTCATATCATCAGCCTATCAGCGCCCACTGTTGAGCAAGGCCTCTTTCAAACATGGAGTAGGTTTGAGCATTAATCACCACGCTTGCTCAAGACGGGTTGGTGATTTCAAACTTATAATTGTGAAACTATAAGTCCAGGTTTCCTCACGATGTTTTCCTTCACCGTATGTCAGTGTATAGACAACCAATACCTTGGGCACGGCGTAAGCGCGTGCGGACGGCGTCGAGTGTTAGTAAGGCCGGTTGGCATCCTTGGGCCGTTTGAGCTGCACCTTTAGCCGCTTCATGCCGATCTGGAAGCCATTCATTGCTTGAATGGCTGCCTGGGCTGAGGTCGGGTTATCGAACGATACAAAGCCTGTCAAATAAGGTATTTTTTAATATTTAAAAGACTTTTCGCAAATTAAAGACCCACCAAAGAAATGGACCTACCGAAACATTTGCTCTGATTGGTGGCACGATCAATGAACACCTTGCTGCTTATTACATTCCCGAACGGGAGGAACATCTGCATCAGTTCAGCGTCGCCGAATTCTTGCGGCAAGTGATATATGAACAGGTTACAGCCCTCAGGCCCCGAAATGGAGCATCCTGGAAACACGAGAAAATCTTTAAAGAACTCACAAATCTGCCTGTATACACCAAGATTCAGAGATTAAATAAGTTTATGACGTTGGAAGTTTTGTAGATATAGTTGTCTGAAAATATATTGTACATAAAACAACAAAAGCATAAAGCTAACATTCATAAACGAATTGTTAAAGTGTTAGGTCATCGTCGCAAAGCATTCTATATAACACTGTACAATCGTGCGATGTTGCCAAAATGACACAAACATAAACACAGAAACCAGATCAATTATTTACCAATACGGATGTTGACTTTATGGAAAATAATTGTCCGTGAAAATTCGAAGAAGATTAGTTATAAGAAGATTATACAGCGACGTGTTTTTAGAATTTGTTAATATCGGAATCATTAGCCAGGTCAAGCATTTGACGTTGATGATTGAGTGATGATCTTTGATCATTAGATTCCAGGGTAGTTCCAACGTTTAATCAGGAGACGGTCTAGTTCTTCATCTCAGTGCACCACTTACCTTCTCTTTGCGCTGGTGCTATAGTCGACATCGGCGGTGGGATGGGCTGCGGAAACTGCCCATAAACCGCTGGATAAGCTGTTGAACATCAATTTGCACATTTTCACAATGAACACCTATTATGTTGCGTCTTTATCATGCATTCCCTGACCGATGTAATTTTTAACTTTTTCAAATTGATCTTTTTTTTATTGATTGAAACTAAATATACGCGTAAAATAATTACATAGGTCTGGTACCTACGTAACATGACATTTATTATAAAGCTGATATTGATACATTTGTGTGGTGTGTGAAACGTGTTCTAGATAACAAAATGTGTTTTTGTTGTTGTAAATATAAATTATAAATAAAGTATACAAATGTGAGTGTTGGATATAAACATTGAGTACAAACTACACGTTGTGTCTACGATCAAATAGCACAGTGAGGGAGTAGGCACACCATCATCTTTCACATGTTGAAGCTTTTCGTGAGTACCATGAGTTGTACGTTTAGCGAAATGATAGTATTTGGCGAAAATATCCCAAAACAACTCAAAAACATTATTGAGAACAATACAATTTTGTTCAACATTTCAAAATAAACAAATAAGCAATATTTTGTCCAATTTGTCAACTGTCACAAGGGATTTGCTTTTGTTTCAAAACTTTTAGTAGCAGCTGGCTTCTTTAATATTATTTTCTAAAAAGACCGATGTTCATCTATATATATTTAACTAAGGCGTCTTATCTTAAATAATTAATTAGACCCAATGGCTAAAATACTCCAACACTATTATACGAACAGTCAGTTACCGTACTCTCAGACATTTTCGGTAGGTGTAAAAGCGACATCAACTACACAAGGCGTGGACAGGCGTGGTTTGAACGCTACTCACCGACGCCGGGGAAGGGCTGCATGCTGGGGTAAGCTGCGTGTTGCAGAGCTGCCTCGCCGTTAGGGATGCCCTGTGCTGTCACTGGCACGGCTGGAAAACCATTCACTAATAGTCATCAAACAAAGTCTAGATATAAAACTTCCCGTGAATTTATTCACGGAAAAAATTCATGCAGAATAACAAAAACGCATGTGGTCTATGTAGAATTTTACCAAATTCTTTTGTACACGAGTTGGTAAAGAAAGATTCTTTAGAAATCGGTTATGAGATAATTTTGCAACTTACGTCCAGTAAATGTCTGGTGGATGCCATTAGTATAGACCGCCTCTTGCGGTGGTGGCTGCCCATTTGTCTGAGCTGCCATGTTGAAGCCAGGCATCGTCGGCGATGGCAGAGATGGAAGCGCTCCATTAAGTGGCTGGCCGCCACCCGTGCCTATCGCGAGTCCTGTAAAGTTATCTGAAACAACGTTACCACTTAAATTCCTATATCCCCGACGTTTTGAGTGAGTGACTCACATCTCGTCTGCCCATGATCACGGTTGTTGAAAAGTAGCCGAAACGTCGGGAGTATGTAGTTCATAACCAAAAATAAAAAACGCGAAGTAAAAATCCGAAAATATTAGTTTCATTTAAATGAGTACTCGCGAAAATCTTAGATCTCATTATGATTTAACATAGTTTAACTGTCAGGTAATATTATTAAAATTGTGAGTATTTCAAAGAATGATAAGAAAAAGGCTTATATGAGGTATTCAAGTATTCACCAGAAGTTGCTGGCACCACGGAATTAGCCATTCCGTTGAGGGCGTGGGACGCGAGCGCTGTCATGGGACTGATATAGCCTTGGGCGGTAGCGGCCACCATCAATGCCGCTTGTTGCTGAAAATGTGGACCAGGATGAATATAATTAATTTAATAATTCTCATTATTCATATCTGGGTTTTAAGAAGTGTATAATGCAAATAGAATATATACATCTGATATTCAAGTAAAAATTGTATTACTATAGTAAATTTGATTTCAATTTCTTCAAATACGGGATTATGCATTAACTAATAAAGCTTTCGTATATCGCTTATACTTTCAATTTATAACTAAAACCTCGTAGTCAGCTACTAATGTTTAGTTTAGCGTACCTGTAGGTCAACTTGCTCAGTGATGACCTGAGCGTAAGTTCCATAAGCTCCGAATTGATTGAAAACAAACGGGTTCAGCAGACTCATGTTGCCGGCCATTTGCTGCATGCGACGAAGTTGACGTTCCTTCTCCGTGTCGGCGAATTTTACTACCAGGCTCGATGAGGCTCCCTACAACGAGCTCTCCAATTAACACCAAAATTTATACAAGAATTTGGAAAATACTTACAAAAATATATCATAAATAAAAAAAATATCGCCACTCATATTACTATCCATTATTTTCAAGCCATTTCATCTGAGTGAATTAATTTTTAATATGAATCAAATAACGTTGAGAGTTACAAAGCAGAAGTAAATAAAAAGCGTAGTCACAGAATCATAAAGCAAATTGAACATTTTTCATTGTAAAGTGGGGCGCAATATAAGTAAAACAAGACCGAGAAATATTTCAATTATCACTTAATTTCACAGAGTGTTGGAACAGAAATAGCCATATTTCATTATAGCGATCGTCAGTTGCGATATGAATTTCTTAGTTAGTACACCCTTTGCCCTCTTGTTTAAAAAGCGTAAATTATGGCTATTGTTTTGTTAAGATTTGTCGGCGTACAAATTTAATTTAACATTGACGAGCACTTGTTAAATAAGGTAATTCTGGTTCGTAATTTTATTGTGAATTTAACAAAAAAATACTAATATTTTTTTGAATACTAATTAATATTCATGACGTTAATGGTTATAGTAGCAACGAACAAATAATTGTTAAAGAGTAAAACGTTTACGCTTTTAATAGGCTGTGAGGTAAACGTGAACATTAGCAAAGCATACAACACCTCAGAAAATGAGGCCCAAGCGTCCTTAAAAATGCAAGCGTCGGCCCGGAGGCAGGTGAAGCGAACTACAATACAGAAAGTAAAGTCGGGCGCATTCATTATGTATTACTGGGGCAAAAATATCGTAGTATAGGCTCAGCAACAGGTCGGTTACCCGATGCAACAAGTCTGGGCCAACGTCCAAAAATGCATAGCCAACTTTCAAGTTATAGTTCCTCCACTTTGCCTAATTGACTTCTGTTTGAATGTTAAGTGGCTAATTTAACCATTGTGATACGTTTATATAGCTTCAATGAATTCATTTTAGTTTTAATTTGCGGTAGTTTGTGTCAGAGTTGCTATTAATTAAGATATTTAAAAAGTGCAGTAATGTTTTGGAGATGGCAATACAAGTTATTGTTTATGAAATGAATATTGATAGGTTTTTGTTTATCGTTATAGAATATTATTTTATATATGACAGTGATGTTTGTTATCACAAAGTAATATTACTTTTATTAGTTTTATATGATTTCTGATTAGTGAATAAAACATGTCTTCAAGTCGACGATGTATAATCGTGTTAAGAAGTCTATTGGTGCTATAAACTTGTTCAGTATACACGTATATTTATTTTATTGTGTCCACCAGACAGTAAGCATTGCGTGCGGTATCATTAAAATTATTGTTATAAATAAGCTTTAATAAATAATCACTTTTGAGCACGTCTGTACGCATCCGAATATTGAGTTATCGCGGGATTATTTATTCGCGCAATTCCATTGTTTGTGTAACAAATGTTTACTGTAAACATTTGGGCTTTTCGGTGATATTGTTTTAATATCAAAAATAAATTTTATTGGCAATTCCTTTTCAGGTTTCTCGTATTATTCGGACTGCGTTTTATAGATATATCTTTAAAGTTTTATATTTGTCAAATATTGCCGTAAAGGTAGTCATTTTGCATAAAATGTGATCCTCATTATTCTATCGTATTAATACAACAATGGATCTATTTAGATAAGCTGTTAGTAAAATTACACCTTTTAAACATGACACCAAGTTTAATTGCAATGAAAAAGAGGTTTTTTTTTGTAAAAATAAAGTAAATATAATAGACGAAGCCATGTTTCTAGTCGTCGCTGACATTAAGATGTTTGTCTACAAATATAACGATGATAGTATTTTATTACGCGGTCGTATCGTCTCCGTCGCGTTCCCGTAACGAGGTTCAGGGGGCCATTCGTTACAATGTAACGTCCAATTAACTCGACTTGTTACTCAGTTAACTGTTGCATAACTTCACTTTCGCTGAATTTACTCAGTACTTAGTAACTATGTATTTGATTTGTTTCTTTGCATGCTCAGAATGTTGGTTATCAAAAGATTTTTGTTAGTTTCTCATAGATCATAAACCGGTTGATAAATTTCTTTCATATTTTCGCTTCTTTGAAACTTTAAATATGCATATAGAATGAATAATATATGGAAGTATTTTACATTGTCTAAAATGTGTAAGAGAAAGTGAAGGAAATTATCTTCTGCTATAATTCATAAGATAATTTCAAAGACTTCCGGAATGTACGTCGTTGATGTATAAACAAGGATGGTTTATGGACAGTCAGACAAATCGGCATCGCACTAAATAACTGACAGAGGGTTTCCTGTGAAATGTTAATGCGTTATAATGGAACTGTAGCCATCGGTTAGATAAGCCGTTCATAGCCGTTATTAAATGCAGAAATAAGCTGAATTATAGAGAATTTAATTTTTATTTAAATGAATTTAAATTCAGACAAATATTTATATTTTCAGAATTAAGAATGTCAAAAAGTTATCAACCTTCGTTTAAAAAATACACTAATTAGCATAATTAGTCCTTATTTAGAGCATCCTTATCGAGAGATACTCGGTTTAAACAGCACTTCTTTTTTGTTGATCCAAAAATTTCAGAAATTTTGGTTACAAAAATAATCTGTCATGGATTCGGGTGGAGATACATCTTTTGCTTCATAAATTCTCATAGAAGCAAGCAGTCCGCCTGACAGTGGCATGAGCGTTGGAGTGTACCAGATTTAATCGGCATGGGATTTAAAGTCGAACTAACACTTGAACAGACGTATTGATCACGGAAGATAATTAAGGCAGAAACGATTTAAGTCTTTAGCAGTACGAGACTGAACTTCTTAGCCTCTTTTTCTCTCTTAAAGGATTCAGCTTACCATATTAACACTTCTAGAAGATTCCTAGTTCTTCTACCATTATGAAAAGCATAAAGCTGATAAAGTGCTGCATTTATTTAGTGTTGCTAATATCTCCACTAATCTATTTAATACTAAATTTGGTGAAACTTATAAATATTAAGCTTATGAATGTTGAAAATTCAAATAATTACAAATTACAATGCACAAAAATTATACATAAATATAATTTATAACATTAAAATATTCTGAATTTAATTCTGCTTTATTTCTAAATATGGTGAATATAATGTTTCCATTCATATAAAATCTAACATCGAATATATTTTTACTTGACTTTAGAATTTGGAGTTGAAAGTGCACTTCATCAAGTCGTTTCGTAAAATGGATTTAGAACTTCGTCGGGGATAGTACTTTGTCTTGACTTAGAAGTCACAGAAAACGTGATTCAACTGTATCGAGTTTACTTTAAAGGATATCGGTGGAGCTGGAGTACTGGTGGTTAGTATTTTATAAGCCGCGTATGGATAACATCACTCGCTTTGAAACTATAAAATAATATATAATATTGCGATATAAAGATTTTCATTATGTAATTTTGAACATATACTCCTCTATATAAACGAAGTTTTACTGACGGCAGTGGATTGTATTAGTTTTTTATTTACTAGGTTCTACAGACAGACATACAGTTTCCACGTGTACGTGTTCACGTGTACGTGCATCACGTCACGTTTTCACACGAAACACATTACGTAGCATTGTGTCTAGATCGTGCTGGTTGGACCGTATTTATAAGGCTGTGTTTACAGAATGATTAAATCATTACTTTCTTTTAATAAACTTTATAATTTATTTCATAATTATTAAACTTTAATTTAGACTATAAAGAATTTACCAAATTTTAAACGAAATCAAAGTTATCATTGTAATATTATAACACTAGACGAATTCAAATTATTATAAAGTGTAACAGAAACCAACTAAAACTTATAACTATCTCACGTTGTAATTAATATAGAACACTCTCTGTTTATTTCAAACGTAATTATATATAATTTCGAGCTAAAAGCACTTACGCTAGCAACCTTAGCAAGGTCACTAATATTCGTCTCCAATTAACAAACTTGTCGAACATTGAACATCTGAATTCCGTTCGCTTGTTATTTTGATGAAAGTTAAACACAAGGTTTATGCTATGATATTCTGATTAATGTAATTATCGAAGAAGACCGCAGGTTCACTCTCGCTTAATTGAAACACAAATAGAGAGGTGTGATCGGTCTGCCTAGTGATTAAGGGAACGTTCCGAACTGTTTAAACTACATGAAAGGTATTATTTATAGCTAAGAAACACTTATTATACTAAGTTGTATATACATAGATATTTTAAGTTCAATATAAAAGGATGAATGTATATTAGGATGTTTTTTTGCTCTTGTAAAGAAATTCGTACACTAATGATTAGGAAATTTATCGTCTTTATAATAAAATTTCTCTACATGGATTATGTGAGCGATTTGCAATGATAATATAGCTGTGAATAACATTTTATAAATATATATTATTAAATTTGTATTAACAGTAACATAAAATGACAGATAAGATGAGGTTTTCATAACAAAACCTTTCCACAATAACAGAACTAAAGTTCAAAAAGATAAGGTTAGGACATTTAACAGTAGCATTACAAATTCCACTCACACAATAGCCATATTAAAATCAGGAACGATCCCGCCCTGACCGTTAATGGTCCGAAACAGATTTCTCTGAACAGATTTGGTCGAAAAATCTCCAAGAAAACGCTTAACATTTCTGGGCCTCAAACCGCCTTAGTGTAATTGCAGCTTTACTCTATTTTATTACAGGGCGAGCCGTACCAAGTCTAATATCCCCGTATAAATGGTCGGTAGTGTCGAAGACGGCGCTTATAAGGCATTGTTCCTTAAAAGCCTCGCTGTGCGCTTTAAGGTTAGTTTAACAAGGCATTCTAAACACGGACGTACACGAGATTGCCTTTAGAAGAAAGTAACGAATAAAAATGGGAAATAAAAATTGTATAAAACAATTTAATGAAATCGGTTGTACTGTTAGGTTTAAAAATATAAGGAGTAAAAGGAGGGATAGAGATGAAAAAAATTTATAAAATCTTATAAATAAAATTAAAGGAATGAATTCAGAAAAATATGGTCCACAAAATAAAATTTTTCAATTGATAAATTTATTGTTTCATATAATGATTATCATGTAGGAATAAGTTTGTTAAAGCCTGAGTAAAAGAGGTGATAAGAAAAGAGCAAAAAGAGAGCTCTTATAACGCTTTTACAACGGTTTCTTTCAATTTTTGTTGAAAGCGTTACAAAGAATGCATCCCGTAAGTGCAGTTTGCAACTGCGGATCTTTCAGTCGATAATGACAATTAAAATGATGTTAATAGGGTCTCAAAAAGTGTGAATTGTCCAAAAGTGTGCACATGATGAAGCCGTAGTTAGTAGATTCTAAGTTAATTGGAATCTTTTAAAGTTTGGTGTAACAAGAGAGGATAGTTGGTAAGGATTCGCCTTGATCCGGGCAGATCAGCTTTTATTACACAAGCCTGAATAAACTTTGCCTTCTCAATAAATTTGTTTATTTCAGAATCTAATTCAAATACTTAATGATTTCAATATAAAAATCCTCAACAACTAAACCGTCCTAAATCGAACTGGAGTAATCGCAAACCTAAATAAATAAATAAAAAAAAACAGAGAAAGTTTTCATTGAATTCTTGAAATAAATTCATTTATTCAATGTATACAAACTACAGGATGGACGGCGAGCGATTCGACAAACGTTTATTTATTCCAATTTCGGTCTGTAATAACTGCCTCTTGTATTATTCATCGTCCAATTATAGTAAAAGGAGTTTTCTGTTTCTTCCGACGCACTTCGCAAGGGTCCATTGAAGCAGGCTTGTTTAGTTTCACAATTGGTTGTACCTTGTACTTCTTTATTTACCTAATAGGAGATCAAACGAAATCGTGTCTCGAGGCTGTGCTACTACGTGTGCGTCTGATAGGCCTCGAGTATTTGTGAATTCCAATTCTAACTGACCCATTGTGTTGAGGGTCCTCTGGTATTTAATTTTATTATATTCTTTGTTTCTATTGTTCATAAGGAAGCCGTTAAGAAGCTTATTTAACAGCCTATTAAAGCGTAGCGTTTATGAGTTTTAAGTACAAATATTTCGTGAAAATGAAGTCTAATCAAATATAAGATTATGTTCGCGCTGAAGGTCGTTGCGTAATATCTAAGCTCTTTGAGTTTCTATTCATAAATAGTGTTATATATGGAGAGATCTATTCAAGTCGTAAAAGCTGCAGAATGTTCCAATAGGTATGAGTAACGCCGCGGGACCTCGCACGTATTAAGCCGTGAGTTTAACGATGTATTGCACATATTGTTTATATTCTGGGAGAACTCACCAACTGTTAATATATTCGGCATTATGACCCTCACAGCGTTCGCAATAAAAGTTATATTGCTATGTCTGAGTTATGGACCATGATGCCGATGTTACATATTGTCCGAGAACCCACGTTGGGATTAGAGAGGCCTTTTAAGCCCCAATTAAAAAGAAGAGGGCTTATGCATTATGTTTTATTCACAAACTGTAAGTAGTTTTTATCTTTTATAGGTTCATGTGTACACGAAATATACGAAAATATTTCGAGATTCATTTTACGTGAGTGTATTGTATAACATGTAACTAACTAAAAGCGATAAGTTATTCCCAAATCAAGATTTATACACATTAAGTATGGTTATAAAACATAAATACATTTTAATACGCGGTAATAATCTTACACAATATTAAGTTCACATTAAATCCACAACGAGCTATTAGACGTGCATCAAAATACCTAAATTCATTACAGCGAATTATAATTAAAATTGAAAACATCGGGTGTTCAGTCTGTACGTCAAAACGGCGGTATAACGTTTGTCATAATATAAATTGATTAAGCCGAGCGCTCGGCTAATAAATGTAAAATTTCAAACCCATTAGGGGAAAGTTTTGATATTAAGCACGCACCTTAATTTTGCTGATGGAAAACTTAACTCCAGCCTAAACTCCTTATGAAGAAGTTTTTTTTTAAATCCCCGTCTAGCGAGTCGGAGCTAATGAAGACGGGAGTCAATTTCCTACCGACGGTAGGCAGGTATAGAGTTTCTAGGGAACTTTTGTTTCTATTCAATCCATTTTATGTGTATTTTCTTAATGTACATGATCAATAAATTAACTTAAGGTAATTAAATAACTTCTTATAAATTTAAGACAAGCTGTCTTACATGTTCTGCCAAGTTATGACACAACTTTTAAAACTAAAATCAGTGGATTTATAAGAAAAAGTCGAATTAGATAATAGGTAATCTAATACTGAATTATATTAAAGTTTGCTTTATTAAGATTAGAATGTTAATTACAAAATATTTTTAAGTTACAGAGCGATTTTCTTTATCAGTTTTGGAATGACTAAATATTGTTTTAACGTCAAAATGCCGAACATAAGTCATAAAATAAACAGTAAATATACAATAAATTATAAAACAAAGAGAAACATATATATAAAGTAATGATGTAAGCTTGTAACTAGATCCGACGGTCCGAGGAATAATCGTAGCGAATACTTTGCTATATCTAAGATGACATCTTATTATTATTATATCTTCCTCGATTGCGCTCAAGTAGAAATAATAGCAGGCGTATTTTCTCTTCTCCCTTGTGGTGGCTGAGCGATGCTTCCTCGTTTTGGCCAAGTTTTTTATGATTAAGGTTGAGTGTTAGATATAAATCAGTAGTTAAGTTTAAATAAGATTGTGTGCTTCTATTAACCTTTATATGAGCTTTTTATATTTGTTTTGTTTTATTTATTTTATGCGAAAGATTTTCTTAAACAACTTGACGCTAATTTAATGTGATATTAGGTTTTGATTTTTATATACATAAAGTCACTAATGACTAAAGTATTTTATTGATAATTTAAATTATTGATAAAATTATAAACATTTATTAATATACTTAAAAAACTAACTGTCCAATGTAAAACATCTCAATCGATGCATGTAAGTAAAATATAAATCTAAAAGTATAAAAGTTTTATTAATATATTGCGTATCTTTAAAAGTAATGAATAATTATAAAGTAATATTAGCCAGGTCGTTAAGAATACGAGAACATAAAGTCAATTGAGTACTATTACCGGCTAAAGATATAAAGCACTTTAAAAAGATTAACTTGATCGTCTTTTAAAAGAAACTAAAACCTTCAAAGGTCATTAACCGCTTAGTTTCGCCGCGTTTCTTAGTTTTACCTCATTAATTTTCATCTTCGGGAACATAATTTATCCTCGAGCGGCTCCATACTTGATAAGGCATCCTTTATACCGGGCAATAGCAAGTGTTTTTATTAAAACCGGAGCAACTCGCTCGACTGTCGTCGACTGATAGCGCCTGTTTATTTATATAGCACCGCTTTTTCCACTCAAAGTGTTAAGGATTTTTTACGCAACGCCATTTGGTATTGTCGCCTCGTAAATGTGGAGTATTATAAAGATTTGAGTCTAGCGACGCTGTAAACTTGTTTTTGTTGGCTTTTAGAATTAAGATTTAAATGTTCTTTGATATCTTTTATGAACTGCTAATTATTTTAAGCTTTACATTTAGAAATTATTACGTTTTACGAAATGTATTTCGTTTATTTTATTTACTCAACAAGATTTCTTTTTTCATTTTATCATTAATGACTAATAAGTTATGGAATAAAAATGTTAAAGACATAAAAATAAAATAAAAGTAATGTAACAAACGCTCATATGATATTTCATTAATCATTCATTCCCAGTAAACTTCCATTCATTTAAATTTACAAGAATCTTTCATGATTCAGGCTAACAAAGTCAGAGTTTATTATTTTCTCTTTATTTTTTCCCGCTCACTGATTTTGTATTGTCGTTGCTTGAAACGTGAGAGGTTTCATTGCAGCCTACAGTTAATTTTAATTTAGGTCTCGACGCTTCGAGCGTTTTAACAACAAATTCAAAAACGCTTATTAGACACTTGAATTTCCTTTGACATTTTTTTTAATTTGTCACTTAAAAACAGGTGATGGTTTTCGATTGTACGCTGATATATAATTTAACTAATTTCATTCGCTGTGTTAACTTAAAATTTAATCTATACAGAATATTCATTGCTAGCTTACTGTTTGTTATGGTGTTGTTACAATAATTAATTATTCATTGTATGTTAATAGTATGAATGAAAATTCAGAAAAAATAAATTAAATCATTTGTAACATTTAATGTGATGAGGGTAACAAAAACCGAAAGAGTTCTTAAAGTAAATATACCTTCCACTGTATGATTGAGCAAATAGTGCTGAGATTCAAGTGTGCTCGCTTGTTATTCTATGCAAATGACTAGCCACCGGTAGAGGTGTGTTCACAAAGAGTTCATACAGTCTCATTGTCTCTTTATAAAAGGGTCCGATATCATCATTGCGTCCCAATTACCAACACAGCATTTTCAGATATTCTGATTATTATTTGTACATTGTTGCTATGTCATTTGTGACTTGGTTTGTAACATATTTAAGAAGCATAGTTTTGCTATAGTAGAAATGAATTCCGATATATTTTTTTATATAGAAATACTATTAGTATTAGGATTATTTTTGCAATAATACGGCATATTAAGCAAATTAATCACTGTTTACCGGATGGCAAGTAGGAAACGGTCCAACGTGATTAATAGTTCACGTCGCTCACGTTAGATATGATTAAAATTATTGTTAGAAGGACGGATAAATCTTGGAATACAAATCTCCTAAGTTTACTAGCTTCACAGCGCTAATATCAGGAAATACGACATATGTTTAACGTTTACATACATTACACGCAAACTGTGTTTTGGAAATCTACCAGACTATGTGGAAGCGGGAAGCCTTGTGAATACAGCCTTAGGAGTTCGGAGATGCGAGTTTTTATGCAAAACAAACTTAACTTATTCAAGTACGCCTTTGCATGAAACTTGCATAGAGACTGGCTAAATGATCACGTTATGCACAATGTTTGCTTCGAATGCACCTGAATTTGTATTTTTAACCGACTCCGTTAAAAACCGTTGTCCATTTGAGATTTGAACTGTCCCTGGAAATGGAATTCGTAAAATGATCTTTATTTTTTAAGCAGTAAAGCTTTTATAGTGTAATTCTGTTTCCAACAATTAGGGATTTCATTTCGCCGGCACTGCGACCAATTTCCGTAGTCCAGTGGAATTAAAATAGCGGAGATGAGCACGAGGTATTGCAGTCGAAGATACTTCAAGGGATATTCAACTATTAACCTCATTGAACTCTTATTTCGCTTTTTCTTTTGCTTAACACATTTATCATTAAAAACCTAAGTAAATATATACTTATGTATTGAAACGAAACTTTTGTTTTATGTAACATTTTCTTTAGCATATTAAAGTCCCCGGGGTCTACTGAGTTGATGGATGAAGTTACTGTGTGGAGTTGATTCAACAATCTACCAAGCTTATTTTACGAAGTTGGAAGTATTCCAATTACTTCATTTGATTCACCTTCAGTAAATCATCGAGTGACAAATAAGAAGACATTATACTCTTGTGATTTGGTATAGGTCCTACGTTAGCACCTTTTTCTGTAACAAACCGTTTGACAAACATTTCCTGGCTGTAGCCTTGGGACTATTACTGTAGCAATAAAGTGGGCGATTAAAGTAGGACTACGTCGTAAACAATTAAGATAGCAGTGAAATCCTCCTTCATTATTTCTTATAGCTGTTTTTATATACGAGAATTTACAAGCGTTCCTAAGTTTTCATCTATTTTTTGTATTAATATTTTTAATGATAATACTTATAAAAACAGAATCCCACACTTTAATTTCCGATAATTTCGGAATATGGCTACCAAATAAAAAAGTTACATTGTTAATTTTGGTGGTCATTACTCAAAAATCGTGTTATACGAGTAGTATATTCCTCTGTGTTGTGTATATAGGTGTTTTTTATATTGAACGGTCCATAAGTTTATTTCAATATCAGTG